ACCGTTCAGCCTAGAAGACAGACTCTAAAGGAGGACAGAGCTCTATAAAGTCATGACAGGTGTGGAGAAAGTAAATAGGAAGTATTATTTACTCCTTCTCATAACACAGGAACCAGGGCTCACATAGTGAAATCAATAGGCAGCAGGTTTAAAACAAACAAAAGGAAGTACTTCTTCACAGAACGCACAGTCAACCTGCCAACTCTTTGCCAGAGGATGTTGTTATACCAATAAAATAAAAACCAGCAGGATCTTATTAAAGGGAAAAAGGCAAAATACCACATTTACTGTGGTACAGAAAGAATCATAGTAAGCAGTTAGTTCTAGTTATAACATTCCATTCAATCTCATATTTATTCACACATTCATTCATTCATTCATTCATACAAACACACACACACAGGTTCTGCAAGGTTGTTATCATAGTTACCAGCCTTAGGGTTGCTCATGCCAAGCCACTGGCCAGGTGGCCTGGACATGAGGAGGGAGCAGGGCCTTGTCAGATGCTCATCTGATGCTCCTGGAAGTTGGTTTGCAGAATCAGACCCCCCAAAGTTCTCACTTTTTAGAGTCTATTTTTATAGGAATTTCTTCCTATGGCAGTCTATGGGAATTGCTTCATCATGCTGTTGCTGAATCAATCAGCAGATAGCACATTCCTGACGGCTCCAAGATGTTATCTTGTTCTTTGGTTCTCCCATTCTTGAGGCTGTTGGGTGGATTCCAGTCTGCCCTCCGGGGGGGTGTGCTCTGGTTATTTCCACTTGATGCCTTCTTCAGCCGCTGGACACTGGATTCTTAGGCTGGCACCTCCCTGATCATTCAGTTATTATCCACACCAAGCATCCATCCACATACATCCTCTATCTCTATTTTAATCACAATTGTTAATACAACAAAAGGGTGGGAGTCTCTGGGTGCTGTTTCTGTTGTTAGAGTATTGCTTTGAGTCTCTCTCTGTGTGAATTGCTTTGAGAACAGACTCTGTCTTAGAATGTACTAACACAATTAGCAGCTTGCAAGTTTCACACATAGAGGGAGAGAAACAGTACCAAAAACCAAGAGACCTCTTAATTAGTAATACCCTGGAATTTAAACTCTGGGGAATCAAACTCATTTGTGATTTTAATACAGAACTTCTTTAATATGATCCAACATGTTGCGAAGGCCAAGACTACAGCAGGGTTCAAAACAGAACCAGATAGGTCCATGGAGCATAGGCCCATCAACAGCGGGGAGCCAAGATAGTCAGGGACGCAACCCGATGCTCTGGGTGTCCCAAAACCTCCAACTGCCAGACGCTGGGAGTGGACGACAGGGGCCGGATCACTGGACAATTGCCCGGCTCTGTTCACTCCCTCTGGGGCAGCTGGCACCGGCTGCTGTCGGAAGACAGGATGCTGGGCGAGGTGGACCTTTGGCGGGACTCAGTCTGGCCGTTCTTATGCCCGGGGCCCCAGGCACGGACACCCCCGCCCGGGGCCCCATCACCCCCCCGCGAGGCACTGACGCGCCAGTGCCCACCACCGTCGACCCCCCTCCCCCTGCGCGCTCTCCCCGGGCAGCCGGGGGCTCGTAGCGGCAAGCCCCGGTGTGGGGGAGGGGGGAACACCGGCGTGCGCGCCGCTCACCTGACCCAAGAGGAGGGAGGTTCACACAGCTGGGCCGCCGCGCTACCCCTCACGTCACTTTTTCAAATCTGGCGGGCACTCCGCCCCCGGTAACGTCACTTCCGGCGCGACTGTGTCCCTGCCCACAAGCCAGGCACGCATGAGTTAGAGGTAGGGTTAGGGGGCGGTGCCTGAACGCTCCGGACCCGCCCCCATCGAAGGCGCTGCCTGGGGTCCGGCGCCTCTCGCGCGCACGCCGCCCTGCGCATGCCCGGGGCGGCGCGGAGCTTGGCGAGGCTGTCGGGGGACTCGGGGCGCGTGGGCGCACGGCGCCCGCTACTGCAGGCTGCTGTGCAGGCTGGCCCCGTGCGGATGGGTGGGACGGTGGGGCGCTGGTTAATTGCACGTGCATTTGTCCCAGGGGAGTGACAGAAAGCTCACAGCATTGTGCTCCTCCAGCGATTATTTCTAAAGGGCTTTGAGTGTAGGTGGAGAAAATGCTGGTAGCAAAGTGTCACTGGCACATGTGAAACACAAGGAACGTGACCTGATGGAAACGATCCCATTGACCTCGATGGGCTGTGGTCAAAGCCAAGAGCAAAATCCAGATGGTCAGATTCCACTGTTAATTTACATTCATGCAGGCAGGCCATTGACCTCAATGGGTTTGCCAGGCAAACATTACCCTTCTCGGTAAGGTGGAGATCCTAAAGCAGGGGTGGGCAAATTTTTTGGCCCGAGAGCCACATCAGGGTGCAAAACTGTATGGGTGGCCGGATAGGGAAGGCTGTGCCTCCCCAAACAGCCTGGCCCCTGCCTCCTACTCGCCCCCTCCCACTTCCTGCCCCCGACTGTCCCCCTCAGAACCTCCAACCCCCTGCTCCTTGTCCCCTGACTGCCCCCTTCTGCACCCCCGCCCCTAACTGCCCCCCCCGGGATCCCACTCCCTATCCAACCCCCCCATCCCTTGACTGCCCTGACCTATCCGCACCCCTGGGACTCCTACACCGTATCCAACCCCCCCATGTTCCCCGACCCCTGACCACCCCAGAACCTCCGCCCCATCCAACTGCTCTCTGTCCCCTGACTGCTCCCCAGGCCCACTGCCCCTAACTGCCCCCTGCTCCCTGACCGCCCCCCCCGGACCCCCTACCTATCCAATCCCCCCACCACCGCACGCACTGCCGCCCCCTTTCCATGCCGCTCAGAGCGGCAGGAGCTCATAGCCCTGCTGCCCGTGCAGTGGTATAGCTTTGGGGGTAGGGTGAACAGCAGGGGAGGGACTGGGGGTGAGCCACCCGGGCCAGAAGCTCAGGGGCCGGGTAAGATGGTCCCACGGGCCATAGTTTACCCACCTCTGTCCCAAAGCCATATTTAGGCTGACATTCCCAGATGTGTAACCACCTACTCCACTTCCAGAATGTGCATATTCATGTGTAAGCAGGGTGCCCTCTACAAACAACGTTACCCTGGGCCTGGCATTTTCCAGACATTGGTAAATAAACATGTAGAAGATCAAAGATATATATAGATCAGTGGTTTTCACTTTTTCCATACAGGACCTGCCCATTTAGCAATATGGGAAGGGCAAGATGGTCCCTGATACCTGGTCACATGCCCCAGGCTGAGAACCCCGATACAGATCATATGTGGTCTCTGAAAGTTAATTCAAGAAAGTATCAAGAGGACTCCAAGAGAAACTGGCTTCCACTGGAATTCTCAGCTTGGGGGGATGGAAGGTGGCCTCTTGGCTGTTATATCAAGGGCTTTTTTATTTTTTTTACCTGAATATCAGCATAATACTAATCCTACACAGAGGGAATAAGGCAGAAATCATAATGACAGAATGAGCTGCTAAAGTGAATAACTACTGAGTATTTCTCAGCATGAAATACATTTATATTCCATACACAGAATAACCAGGGGATGGCATTGCTGTACTACCAAAATCCCTGTGTCAGTTCAGCATACAATAACACAGTGGTTCTCAAACAGGGGTCTGGGGGGGCTGTTGGCATGTTTCAAGGGGTCCACTAAGCATGGCCAGTGTTAGACTTGCTAGGACCCAGGGCAGAAAGCTAAATCCTCGCTGCACAAGACTGCCGCCTGGGGCCCCGAGCTCCACCACCTGGGACTGAAGCCGAAGCCTGAGCAACTTAGCTTCACGGTGCCCCCTGAGGCATGAGGCCCTGGGCAATTGCCCTGCTTGTTACCCCTTAACGCCAGACCTGGCTTTTATAGGCAGTTGTTGTGGCACAGGTGGGCCGTGGAGTTTTTATAGCATTTTGCGGGGCCTCAGAGAAAGGTTGAGAACCTCTGCACTAACATATTAACTCATGACAGGAACCCCTGCCCGTGCACAGTTCTTTGACCACCTTTGGGGGGAAAGATTTTGACCATTTTGTAGCTAGTTGGGGCACTTTTTAAGAACACGTTTTAAACCATTTTGAAGCTTTTTTAAAAAAACAACCTAGCTTGTGTCACTTTGGGCATTTGGGGGGCAGTTTTGATAATTTCTGTGCATTTTTGGTCCTCTTTTGGGGAAGTTGGGAGCATTTTTTGAGGGGAAGTTGTTTTCACTGCTTTTTGGTAGTTTGGAGGAAAGTTTTATTTTCTCACCAGTTATTTGGTACATTTAGTGTCTAAAAATTGCAAAACTCTGGCACCACAAATGCCCAATTGAAGTCAAGGGGCTCATTCAGGTGCATGAAGTTAAGCACATCCTTAAATGTTTTCAGGGTGGGGGCCAAAGAGAGGAAGGAGAGAGAGGGGAATATTTTGCTGTTGTGGTGACTGACACGTGCAGGGTTATTATTACTCTGGTTATTTACCTCTCATCGTCATTGCTTGGTAACGGCAGCACTTACTGAACCTCCTCAGGAGCTGGAGGATGCAGTGTTGGAGAGTTTGTATATCACCTGTGTCAGAACAGAGTTGAATGCACACTGTCCAGGATCCATTCCTCACTTTAAAATGTTTTCTCCCTCCCAGTGTGCAGACACAGATTTCTATCAGACTCCAGATTTTCAGAACTTTGATAAACATTTTTTTTTCCTGTTTTTCAATGCTTTCATCGGGTTGAACTTTTGGAACTTCAGATTTCAGTGATAATTTTTCCACCAACTCTATTTCTCAGCACGCCCCAAACAAGAAGTTTTGAATGCATGCCTTCGGCTTCTCATCTCCCGTGTCTGTTTCCTTTCAAAAGTTAAGATGGAGGCAGCAGTCCAGCTGAAGCAAAGCTGAAGGCCACGCGGATTAGCACCCTCATACACAGGATCTCTCTTACCACAAGGCATCGCACAACAGACTTCATGCCTTTTAATAAAATACAGAAACTAGCCATGAACAGCACCAGCTGGGGATGCCTAAAACATCTGTGATAGGTGGAGAGTTGTAGTGACTTTGTTGAAGAAAGTGCATTTTAGTCGTGAATGTTTAAAAAAAATTAAATTAGACTTTCCTTTTTCAGAATAGCATGAGACTCTGTTCCAGATTATAAAGGAATAAATTACTATAATAAAAGAGCTATTGCAGAGTTTAATTAACGGTGAGTAAAAATGGTCTAAGCAAGCCACAGTGAGACATTAGAACCTATATTTACCAAAGGAAGAGATGAACAAATACAGAGGGCTTTGCAGAGAGCAGGCGTTGTTATGTGCAGCATAGGAATATCATAAATGCTTACAAATTTGGGGAGTGCTGGCTAGAAAGGCTTACAAAGTGCTCCAGGTGGGTAGGTCATTTCAGAACTACATGCAGCTCAGACATTGGGGATCTCAGGTTCTGGGAAAGGATTATTAATATCCAACACTGGCACCCGCAGCAAGTACTTGGTTTTATGGATCTCTGGAAAGTCTTTCTCTGTCATTCCTATTTCCCACTTGGGAAAATCTGGCGCGGCCTTCAGCCATAAGTCTTCCATGGGGTCTTTTCCAGTGAACCACCACTCCTAGGAAGAACAAAAGAGAAATGAGAGGCCAGAATGAGACTGGTTTCAGAGTAACAGCCGTGTTAGTCTGTATTCGCAAAAAGAAAAGGAGTACTTGTGGCACCTTAGAGAGAAAGCTTATGCTCAAATAAATTGGTTAGTCTCTAAGGTGCCACAAGTACTCCTTTTCTTTTTGCAGAATGAGACTGGATCTTCAGAGACAGCATTTCTGAGATGGTCAGGAAGGGGAGAAGTCTGACAAGAGCCACCCTATTCTTGCTATCGATCACTATCTATCCCACACTGCCCCACAGGCAAACCAGGGAACAAACGGATTACAAAAGTTGCAATTTGATCCTGGGTTCCCAGCTGGCTTCGGGGAAGGAAGTAATCTGCACCACGCCTAAACCAGGCACAGATCTCTTCCCCCTCCATGCTGGCTCAGCACTGCTGGCTGGCATGTTGGATTCCCTGCCTCTATGTAGGAAGGGAAGTAGCACCCCATTGAAACTACTCAGCTCCCCATGCTGTGACCCATGATACAGATAACCAATACAGGAGTGTTGAGGCCCCTTAAGCCCCATTACTTACACCCTTTTAGGGTGTAAAGTGAATGGTTTTCATTTGATGATTTACTCGTGCTTCATGCTACAGAGGCGCTATACTGGAAGTGTAAATATCGTCGTGATTTATCTTTCTTACAAAAGACTTTATTAGCAATAAAGCAGGCCAGCTGCCTTTACAATGACACCAGAACAGAACCGTCAAACAACAGAACTGTCCTCCAAGATGGTAAAAATGCATCTTGACAGGGGAATTGTTCTCTCAGTTTGCCACCAGGGTGGAATTTCTCAGGCTAGGCTGGCAGAGCCTGTGGTTGGAAAGGCTGATTCCAAACTCCAGTCTTCCGCATTTTGTATGGCGGAGTACTGTAAATAAGGAGCCGGAGAAGGATCTTACTCAGGTGGTTAGAACTCTACCTGTGTCCATTTGGATCTGGAAAAAGTTCTCAGACATCCGTATTTCAAATCCCCTCTCTTCCTGGTGCATGTCCTTCTGATGAAAGTAGTTGACCATGATTTATTTGTCATCCTAGCTGTAGACTTCCCATACTTCTTTTTTCCCTTCTCCTCCAGCTGTGATTGGACCCAACATATTTCTGGCCAATGTCTTTTTAAAAGGCCAATAGCAGGTGCCTCCGGGCTCCAAAGCTGTCAGCCTGCCTATTAGTATTATTATTTATTATTTGTATTGCCTCATTGTGCTAGGTGCTAGACAAACAGAACAAAAAAACATACCTGCCCCAAGGAGCTAACAATCTAAGACAAGAGTCAATGGGTGGATACAGACAGATAGGGGAGCACAAGGAAACAGTGAGATAATATTGGTCAACATGGTAGTCTGTGGTCTCAGAGCACTTGGCATCTTGGCAAAGGAGAGTTTTAACTCCAGCACCCACACTGGCCTTTGTTGCCTTGGTTCAGAACAGAACTGTGCAGCTGGGGCCATGGTAGAAGGCCCTGTTAAGACAAACCAACTAGTTTTGAGTTTGCATCCATAGTAAGCTATCATACCTTTCTTAGCCTAATACTTTCAAGGGATGAGACAAATGTATCCATTTTGCTTAACTTCTAAATTCCAAACTATACATCCCAGCCATTTGCTCCAATCAGCTCCCTGGGCAGGAGAAGAAAATCGGCTCTGCGAAGAAACGCACAAACTACATTAGAGCACTGGCTTTGAGATATTTTCTGACGTTACCTCACAAGAGTGGGTTAAAATTAGAGCAGGTACTAATACGATCAATGGAAAACTCTTCCAGTAAGAATTCTTGCCACTGTTATATGTCCATTGCGCCTGTGGTTGCCTTCACTTGTTCCATATCCCGTACATTCAGAGTGTACCATGAAAACGTATTTTAGCGTCCACTGATTTTCATGCATTGCAGGCATGCTACCATCTGGCAGTATGTTCCAATTATACCAGCCTCTTTGCAGGTGCTTCAGGGCACATGGCCCGGCAGATATGTTGTCATGTAGGTGTCTGGGCCAGACTGCACTAGATCTTTAGTAATGCTCCTGTTTTTAAGTCTTTCTGCATTGCTGCTTGTGGGCCTTTTATATTTTTCTCTGCTTGTCTGACATCTCAGAACAGACATCTGCTGTTCATCAGGGACTGGGCATTTCTGTCCCTACTTGGAACAGTCGGCCAGGCAACAGGAAGGGGTGGGGTCAAGAAAGGGAAATTGTGGTGGGGACATGGTGTGCTGGGACCAACTGACCAGGCGATGGAGGTGTAGAAAGGAAGGAGGGAAAGAGTGGCTTGTGCAGGGCTCTTACAAACACACACTCAGGAGAACCTGGGAATGCATTCCCTTCCCAACCCAAATCAGACCTCATCTGTACATTTTCACAACTAAAAAGTAGCTTACCAGATCTGAATGGCATTTCTCCTGCTCTCCAGGGTTGAACCTGCAGCTGTCTCAGGAAGCACCTCATCAGATTCCTCTTCCGCCTGGCACTCAGATGCCTTCTCCTCTATCACTCTCATAATGCAGTCTCCAGGACAGGGAATGTCCATCTCTGCCTGATGCTGGGAAATGCCACCATACCATACACCTTCCCTAGATGCTGTGGTCATGCAGTACCACAGCCTCTGGCCCTGTCCATAAGGCAGTCAGCATGCTGATGTCAGTGCTGGCCAGCTGGCAGCCTGGTCGGATGATCCAACGAGGCAGTGTAGAGATCAGATCGCAAATCAATCAGCAGAAGAAGCCTGCCTCTGTGGAAGCACTGTGCAGATAGGGACCATCCATGTGTCCTGCACTGTTTGTACAGGTAGGTGGGTGCTAGCCAGGCTGACTCCTGGGCAGTGGAATGCAGACAAGTGACCAGACAGGCCACCTCTGCAGTACGGGATTGCACTGGGAGGTCCATTTGCACTCTTTGGGCTAACACAACATTACCCTCTTCTCACAATGACACTGAAAACGACTGAGGCTCAATCAAGGTGGACCTCAAAAAACCTGTGACAGCACGGTCTGTAGCGTAACAGAAACCCAAGTGTGTGTGTAGATGTGGAGCATGTTACAGCCATGCTAGGGAGAACATGCTATGTTAACCACGACAAGTTTGACTAAGCCATGATGGGCAGGCAGGCGTAGACAGAAGAATGGACAACAAGAAAAGGAGATTTAATTTTGCAAATATGAAGTTTGCACTAGAGAGAAAACCACTGGCCCCTAAAAATGATGCTCCTATAGATCTTCCATCAAAATTTACTCCAGTCAAGGAGCCAAAGCACAAGTTCCAGGAGGCACAGAGCAGGAAGCAATGTTATTTTGGAATGGTTGGACTTGTACTAGAAATGGTCCTAAACCTGTTAAATGTTTTGAATGGGAATTTATGCTTCTTAAACCGTAGTCCTGAAAACCAGTCCAGTGACGTCAAGGTAAGTGCTGTGCACAAAATACTGAGTGAGACACTTGGGTTGAAATCTCAGGCTGAATCTCAATCCCCAGCTTGGCAAATGTGGGCTTGTCTACACTTAACGGGCGCTTGACGCACGGCGATCGATACATCGGTGGTCATTTTTGCAGCTCAAGACCCACTAAATCAACTGCAGATCGCTCTCCTGTCAACTCCTATACTCCACCAGATTGAGAAGAGTGCGGGGAGTTGACAGGAGAGGGTCTCCCAATAAACATCGCGTAGTGTGGACCCTGCGGTAAATAGATCTAAGCTACATCGACTTGAGTTATGCTATTCATGTAACTCAACTTACATAGCTTAGATTGACTTTTCCCTGTAGTGTAGACAAGGAGTACTGCAGAATAACCCTGGCAAGACTTGGGGGCCTATTTGTTGGGTTTTGTAAATAGTCACCACTGCAAGGTAAGCAGTAGCACAGTTAATAGAGTCCTTGAGAGATTCTATTCCATTCTGTTGGAGAAGAGTCCTGATGATGTGGGTGGGTGTGGATGTACACAGCAGGATGAAGGATCAGGTGCTGCGCACGCTCCTCCCCCAAGCCTTGTCCCCGAATATCATGCCAGCCCCAGGCTGTCTGAGAATATACCACAAATGTTAACAGAAGTTAGCAGTTAGGTGGGCTTGGGGTGTATGTCACAGTGGTGGGGCAGTTCCCCGCCCCTGTCAGGAAGGAGTTAAAGAGCTCCTCTGGCACAACCAGCCTCAAGCCAGCGCAGCTGTAAGGCTTGTCCAGCCTAGGTATGGGGGTGGGGGCCTTAAAAAGGAGGATCCCAACTCAGTTTGGGACAGCACTCTGAAGGAGCAGGACTGCAGTGCACTCCCAGAAGCAGGGGTTGCTGACAGGGGAAACAGCTGGAGAGCCTTGCCCACCCAGGCCCTCACAGAAAGGAGAAGGGCAGGTACTTTTGTCTTTTTTTGCTTTCTTTTTCTTTGGCTTCCCAAACTTTTTGTTTGGGCTACTTTAATTCCCCCCACCCCTGGGCAAGGGGGCAGAGGCCTTGAACAGCACTGGACTCTGCCACAGGAACAGTGCCCACCCTCTCCCCCAAGGGGTGCTAGGGAGGTATAGCCTACTGCAGGCACCCACCAGCTCCATCCAGGATTTTGATCATTTGCCTTCACAACCTCTCCCTTGACTTTCTCTATATTGCAGCCATTGACCTGCAGCCAGCTCCACTTTCTTCTAGGGAATCCTAAATCCCTTCCCAGAGACGAGCTCATCTGGTGCTCAAAGGAAAAAGCTTTCACATTACCAGTTCTCGGGACTTACATTGCTGATCTCCAGCCAGGATTTCTCCAGGAGGTTTCCATATATGTCACAGAGTTTGAATGCTTTGGATAGGTAGATTTGGCTCTGTTCTTCATTGCCCAACACCAGGAAGGTATAGGCTTTCAGGTGGTAAACCCTAGGGTAATAGATAGGGCTTGTGGAGCATCGAGAGAGAACCTGGTCCAAGTCCTAACAAGAGAACAATTGAGATTCATGTCAGGATGACATCCCAGAGCTTTGAGATCCCTTTGCAGGAATACAGTATGCCTGAGGAGAAGAGCCAGCTAGAAAGAATCAGGAAACCTGCAGAGAGATAAAAAGTAGCAGGGGGTGAGATAAAATCCAAGAGGATTCAGACTGTATGAACTTGTCCTGATCATGCACTTAGGCAGCACGCACTAACTTGGCTTTGCACTAGTCTCTTATCCAGCCTACAGGACAATTCCTCTTTGGGAACTGTGTACTCTGTGTGGCTGATTTCTCTTCTACCTCCTGTCCAGAGGCCACTCTGAGGGGATCCTAAAGATATGTTTCTTGAAAGCGAGTGGAATGGGAACGAGGGGTCATCTGTCACAGTCTTAATAGCATCTTCTTCCACATCCTCACAACATCAGAATAATCTGTCATGGTTCTCTCACCCCACAAAGTACTGGCCCTGGAAGTTGAAGGGCTATAATAATGAAATACTGCTGTTTGATCAAGGGTTGCCCCCACTTTCTGAGACCTTCCACTGGCTTCCTGCCTCTTATTGCATCAAATTCAAGTTTCTCTGTCTCCCCTACAAAGCTCTACAATGTAGACATAAACCTAGCTGCACAGTACAAAAATGTCAATGCCTTCTCCCCTCCTCCGTCGCACAGCTGGACACATACAAATATAGAACATCACTTTTGACCAGTTTCCATGTTCCATGCCAAAAATAGAAGTGTGTATGTGTGATTTTCCCTCCTCTCCATTGTAGTGTATTATGGGGAAAAAAGAGTTTTTGCAATTCTTACCATCAATTTTTGGATGAATCAACTGGAAAGAAGCAAAATTAAGATCAACCTCCCCCTCCACTTGTGATAGACTTTGCATTAGTTATTGCTCATGCTAAGCTATAGTGCAACACCGAAGGGATTTCAAAACCAAACCACCACCTGAACAGCCGTTAAAACTACAGGGGCCCGAATAGGGAACTAGGCAATTCAAGGGAGGAGACCAAGGCTAGTAGAGCTGAGTAGATACACAGGACTGGAATGCTGCAGGTGTCAGGACCCTGGTATTGAATCCAAGTCCATTGGATTCCTCAATGGTACCCCCAGCCTCCATGCCATGGCAGCTTGCTGAGCCACTACCCATGACCGGCAGTCTTAGTGCTAAAGGCCTACGGCCCCACAGCAGGTAGGCTCCTGATTGGCTGGACTGACAGCATTCTCATTGGGCACCTGGACTATATAAAGACCCCGACAGGCAGAGGAATCTGTCTGAGCAGCAGGCCATTGTCTGCTGGCTGGTGCTTGGACCACCTTGCTGCCCTGCTGTTTTGCCTGACCTTGCCTTGCTGCCCTACTGTCTCACCTGACTCTGCCTTGCCTGACCGCATCTACCCTATCTTCCCAACCCACACCCTTGGATTGGATCTCCTGGCTACAGACCCCCTGCGAGAACTCTCACCATTGCCCGGGACTGCCTGTAATACCAATTGTCTTCCCAGTTACCAGACTACCCACATACCACGAGGCCATGACTCTGGACTGCCCCTAGTCTGTGTTAGGATATAGATATTCAGGCCTGTCTGTAAAGGCCTATACTCTAAGAATTTAGGTGTATTCTTATCACTTGGCTAGTTAGGGGTATAAAAGAAAGAATCAAAATCACTGTCTGCTGGTGTAAGGTCCTTCTCTTACTGTGACAGTCTGAGGCCCTGTGCTTAGGCTAAGATCTTTGGCTAAGCAGCAGAGGCAGCCATAAGCTGGGAACCGACCGGTCACATCCTCACATTCCAAACTAGTCACACTGAAATAAGGTGCTATTGGGCTGTTAGGAATACAATCCTGTCCTGATAGTGCCTATCACCTCCAGAGAAAGGCAAACGCTTAGAAAACGTAAAAGGAAACTTAGTTTGATAGCATCCTGTCTAGCAAGAACTCACTTATCAATAGCTGGGATGTGAAATCCTCACTTTTGTATTGTTTTGTCATTATAGTTCCCACTTTGCTATTGTTTGTCTGCATAATCTCTGTCCGGTTCTGTGAGTGTTCCTGCCTGCTGTATAATTAATTTTGCTGGGTGTAAACTAATTAAGGTGGTGGGATATAATTGGTTACATAATCATATTACAATACGTTAGGATTGGTTAGTTAAATTTCAGGAAAATGATTGGTTAAGGTATAGCAAAGCGGGACTCAAGTTTTACTATATAGTCTGCAGTCAATCAGGAAGTGAGTGGGTGGGGGCGTGGGGAGGGGAAATGGGAACAGGGAATGGAGGTGGGGAAATTGGAATCATGTTTTGCTAAGGGCAGGAATGGGAACAAGGACACAAGTGTAAGGCTCTGTGGTGTCAGAGCTGGGAAGGAGGATACTAAGGAAGGAAACTGGAATCATGCTTGCTAGAAGTTCACCCCAACAAACATCGAATTGTTTGTACCTTTGGACTTTGGGTATTGGTGCTCTCTGTTCATGCGAGAAGGACCAGGGAAGGAAGTGGGTGAAGGAATAAGCCCCCAACAGTCTGCTTCCCGTCCTGACCTACCATAATGCCCAGTGGCAGAAAGGGAGGTGTCGGGAAACTTGACAGATGGCTGCTCTCAATGGGCCTGATTCAAAGCTTGTTGAAACCTGGAAAGACTCCTACTGACATCATGGGCTTTGGATCAGGTCCTCCATGCCCAGGAGATATCAGGCCTCCAGTTGCAGAGGTATTGCATTTTACAGTCTTTCCACACAATGTGAACTTCTCCCGCTCTCACCTTTAGCGTCTTAGTACGAGTGTCCCGGACACTTTCAGGCTTTTCCTCAATGTGTTTCCGTAGCACAAGGACCTCACACTCCAAGAATCTACAGAATCCACTGATAGCAAAGAATGAGGCGCTAGTTCTCCTCAGCAACCTTCTGGCCTTTTCAAAAGGCTCCTTGAAGTTTCCCCACTGATGAAGTCTGGCAAACCTAGATCACCAAGCAAGAGATCCACATAAGATTTGCTGTAGGGGATTAGACTATTGGACTGGCCAATGGCACCAATCTAGAGGAAGATGGAAAACTCACGCTGCATCTAGCCACCTGCACAGTGTTATACAATGGGGAGAGGAATTCTTCCTAATGCATGCAGCAAAGCATGAGATATGATTACCACCAACTTAGATTGTACTTTGGGGGCAGTGACTGTCTCGTTCTGTGTTTGTACAGCGCCGAGCACAGCAGGGTCCTGGTTCATGACTAGGGCCCCTAGTCACAATGATATTGATTATAATAATTTAGTGCAAAATAAAGATGTTTTTACTGAACCTAAAATTATCCATCCAAGGTATGTGACATGATGACAAAAACTTTTCAGCCACCCACCCCACTCCCCCAGATAATGTGGCCTTAAGGTTCATCAATACCCCATTCAGTCCTCTAGTAGAACTGGCCCAATTCTGCCACCCTTTCTCACATTGAGAAGTACCTGATCAGCCAAGCAGTTACTCTGATTTCAGCAGGACTCATGGACTAAGGAGCTATTCAACATGAGTACAGATGGCGGAATCCAGCCCAAAGTTTCCAAGTTCCAAGCCACCATATGGCTAGATAAAGACTAAACTAGTAACACAGCAAAGTAATTTTGAGGAGACTTCGTATATTACCAAATAGCCAGGGATGAATACAGCCCCAGCATGATGCTGTTCTGAGACATAAGGATGCAGTTTTTTTCATTGCGCTGTATGAATTCCAGGCACTCTTTAAATGACTTAAATGAAAATCCTGTAAAAGACATTTGCATTAGAGAAGCCGTTTCCCCTTCTGGTGGGAGTGTACTTCCCTATTCTAAAACTTCAACAGGTACAAAGATAGAATCATAGAATCATAGAATATCAGGGTTGGAAGGGACCCCAGAAGGTCATCTAATCCAACCCCCTGCTCGAAGCAGGACCAATTCCCAGTTAAATCATCCCAGCCAGGGCTTTGTCAAGCCTGACCTTAAAAACTTCTAAGGAAGGAGATTCTACCACCTCCCTCGGTAACGCATTCCAGTGCTTTACCACCCTCCTAGTGAAAAAGTTTTTCCTAATATCCAACCTAAACCTCCCACACTGCAACTTGAGACCATTACTCCTCGTTCCGTCATCAGCTACCACTGAGAGCAGTCTAGATCCATCCTCTTTGGAACCCCCTTTCAGGTAGTTGAAAGCAGCTATCAAATCCCCCCTCATTCTTCTCTTCTGCAGGCTAAACAATCCCAGCTCCCTCAGCCTCTCCTCATAACTCATGTGTTCCAGACCCCTAATCGTTTTTGTTGCCCTTCGCTGGACTCTCTCCAATTTATCCACATCCTTCTTGAAGTGTGGGGCCCAAAACTGGACACAGTACTCCAGATGAGGCCTCACCAATGTCGAATAGAGGGGAATGATCACGTCCCTCGATCTGCTCGCTATGCCCCTACTTATACATCCCAAAATGCCATTGGCCTTCTTGGCAACAAGGGCACACTGCTGACTCATATCCAGCTTCTCATCCACTGTCACCCCTAGGTCCTTTTCCGCAGAACTGCTGCCTAGCCATTCGGTCCCTAGTCTGTAGCTGTGCATCGGGTTCTTCCGTCCTAAGTGCAGGACCCTGCACTTATCCTTATTGAACCTCATCAGATTTCTTTTGGCCCAATCCTCCAATTTGTCTAGGTCCTTCTGTATCCTATCCCTCCCCTCCAGCGTATCTACCACTCCTCCCAGTTTAGTATCATCCGCAAATTTGCTGAGTGCAATCCACATCATCCTCCAGATCATTTATGAAGATATTGAACAAAACCGGCCCCAGGACCGACCCTTGGGGCACTCCACTTGATACCGGCTGCCAACTAGACATGGAGCCATTGATCACTACCCGTTGAGCCCGACAATCTAGCCAGCTTTCTACCCACCTTATAGTGCAAGATAGTCAAGAGGGATGTTGGAAGTAGCTGAATCACCTGGCAGAAAAAAATTCTCAGATCTCAATGGAAATCGAAAAGAAAAGCTGCAAGATTTGGGGTTTTAACTGAGCTCCTTAGGGCTGTCATAGGCTCTGTATCAGTGGTCTCTAGTGCAAGGGGAGAAACCCCGTACTGGGCAAAAAAAATGAAAGCATCAATAATCTTTCACCCAAGCATGCAGTCCGCTTTTAAACTGCCCATGTTTCTGTAACACCGAGACCCTGGTCATCAGCAGCTGGGATTGAACCTGGGACCTCTGGAGCTTAGTGCATGACCCTCTACTGCATAAGCTAAAAGCCAACTGGCTCTTAGCTAAGGCTGTAGAGCAGACACATAATCTCTCTCTGAGGGTCTTGGTGCCACTAGATCGGACTGAACACCACACCCAGGAGGTGTGTGGGTTATATACTTCCCCTAGGTGATGGGGCATGTCCCGAGCTTCAGAGACTTCCCAGTTGAAATCCCAGACAAGCCCCCACTTGTAACACTGACAGACCCCAGTCATCATTGAACCTGGGACCTCGGGAGCTTAGTGCATGAGCCTCTACTGCATGAGCTAAAAGCCAACAGGCTGTTAGCTAAGGCTATAGAGCAGACTCATAACCTCTCTCTAAGTGGACTCACAACCTCTCTCTAAGTGGCCATTAGATGGGACAGAACACCACACTCAGGAGGTGTGTGGATTACATTTGTTCTCCACAATGGATGCAATGCAGGGATGGGCAAAGCAATTCCTATGTTGTGGAGCAGCAGCAGTCCTTCCATAAGGAAAGTTGCCACTTGGGTCCCATTATCCATCCCTCTCTTTCTAAAAGGTGTTTTTGAAAGAGGTTCTCCTTAAACTACAGAGCAGAAAAAGAGTTTCAAAATTCTTCCAACTTTTTTGCCACTTTTGTAAGGGATAAAAAACAAACAACCACAACCAAAAACCCAAAGAGAATTGGCTTCAGCAGATCACTGCCTTTGATCACGACTATAAGGTGGGTAGAAAGTTGGCTAGATTGTCAGGCTCAACGGGTAGTGATCAATGGCTCCATGTCTAGTTGGCAGCCGGTGTTAAGTGGAGTGCCCCAGGGATCGGTCCTGGGGCCGGTTTTGTTCAATATCTTCATAAATGATCTGGAGGATGATGTGGATTGCACTCTCAGCAAATTTGCGGATGATACTAAACTGGGAGGAGTGGTAGATACGCTGGAGGGCAGAGATAGGATACAGAGGGACCTAGACAAATTGGAGGATTGGGCCAAAAGAAATCTGATGAGGTTCAATAAGGATAAGTGCAGGGTCCTGCACTTAGGACGGAAGAACCCAATGCACAGCTACAGACTAGGGACCGAATGGCTAGGCAGCAGTTCTGCGGAAAAGGACCTGGGGTGACAGTGGACGAGAAGCTGGATATGAGTCAGCAGTGTGCCCTTGTTGCCAAGAAGGCCAATGGCATTTTGGGATGTATAAGTAGGGGCATAGTGAGCAGATCGAGGGATGTGATCGTCCCCCTCTATTTGACATTGGTGAGGCCTCATCTGGAGTACTGTGTCCAGTTTTGGGCCCCACACTACAAGAAGGATGTGGATAAATTGGAAAGAGTCCAGCGGAGGGCAACAAAAATGATTAGGGATCTGGAACACATGACTTATGAGGAGAGGCTGAGGGAACTGGGATTGTTTAGTCTGCAGAAGAGAAGAATGAGGGGGGATTTGATAGCTGCTTTCAGCTACCTGAGAGGTGGTTCCAGAGAGGATGGTTCTAGACTATTCTCAGTGGTAGAAGAGGACAGGACAAGGAGTAATGGTCTCAAGTTGCAATGTGGGAGGTTTAGGTTGGATATTAGGAAAAACTTTTTCACTAGGAGGGTGGTGAAACACTGGAATGCGTTACCTAGGGAGGTGGTAGAATCTCCTTCCTTAGAAGTTTTTAAGGTCAGGCTTGACAAAGCCCTGGCTGGGATGATTTAATTGGGGATGGGTCCTGCTTTTGAGCAGGGGGTTGGACTAGATGACCTCCTGAGGTCCCTTCCAACCCTGATATTCTATGATTCTATGACTGTGAGAGTAACCTCGCCTACAATAAGTTATTGAACACGTTCAACAGATACTCCAAGGAACAGACATTCCTACACTGACTAGCTTGGTGTAGCATGTAAAAGGACTGCTGGAGCCCTAGACTTTCACTGCAAGGAAAGTCTCTAGCCCTTTCCCTTGAAGAAGCAGAGCTCACAGCATAGATCAGTAGGGAGGCTAGACTTGTCAAAGAAAAAGGTTTCCCACCACCAATCAAAGGCTCACAAGGGAGTTCTCCCCTCTTGCAGACCTCAGAAACCCACTGTAAGGTGGTGTGAAGTGACCACCTGATCTCCCAGCCAAGCCCCCTGTTCTCACCCCATCCCCCACTTTGTGGGCTTTCTGAAGTGTGTACGAAGGGAGCTGTGGTCCTGGAGACCTTAGGTCTATGATTCAATGTTTTATCGGCCTAATTAAGTCAGTTAGGGAAGTGATTTTTTTAATGAGATAGCTGTGCCAGCCAAAGCCCTAGCACATAGCAGCTATACCAGGGCTTTTGCCAGTACAGTTTATGTCTTTCACCAAATCGGTATAAGATGTACCATCCAAAGGATTTTTTTGCTGGTATAATTGCATCTCCATTAGCAGGGTTTTGCCAATTCAGCCACACTGAATAAATTTGTCTGCTCAGATAAATTTGTTAGTCTCTAAGGTGCCACAAGTACTCCTTTTCTTTTTGCGGATACAGACTAACATGGCTTCTACTCTGAAAACTGATAGTTATACTGGCAAAGGTTTTAAGTGTACACAAGGCTTTAGCTGTGCGGAGTGCCAGGGGGCTAAAAGGAGCAGGGTGATTGGGGGGTAGAGATCAGGGGAATTCCTCCATGCCGGCTGAGTGAAGTCTGCAAAACCCCAGTTAGCCTTAGGAGGTTTGTTGGCCAACTTTACAACCTCCCACACTTGTATGAGAATATCCCAAAAGCTTCAACATTCACACAGACATCAACATCCCCTCATCGGAGCTACCACCCCTTTTCTGTTAAACCTTTTAGCTCTCTTCTTTAAAAGCATGTCAATTGCAGTGTAACCACAAACGAGATGCCAGAACGGCGCCACCATTTTTTGGCAGTGTTGACATGGCGACTGTCCCTGTCCAGGAGTGTCTTTGCAAAGCACGCCATTATCTGTTGTCCTCATCACACAGTACTTACCAGCATAAAGCAAGAGTTCTAAACAGTAAGAAAAGAAATAAGCCATCCCAATGATTCTCTCCTCCTTAACGACCAACTCCTCCATCCAACTCAGCACTCGCACACAATCTTGGTACCTAGACACCATGGAGAATTATTGCATGACTCATTTTATTCTGGGGTGTTTCTCCACTATCCCTTCATTTCCTTTCCTCTTTCCATGTCTCATTCTCTATGCTCCCATCCATCATTCCACTCATGTATCTATCCTATTTTTCTCTCCAAGGATTTTCGGGAAACAAGCTTATGGAGAAGGGCTTCAAGGATGCCTGACAAAATAGCGAGTGGATAGAGACATTCCACTGTGGTCCTTCCCAGGTGCACGAAGTATCCCTATGTGCATATAAGTGTCTGCAAGGTCCACTGTGACTAGCTAGTTGCCTTTCCAGCTGGTCATTGACAAGGAAAAGCACCAGGAACGGTGCATATAGAAGCCAGGTGGCCAACCTATCACCGCAGACAAACATGCCCCAGCAGAAGGAACAGTTGTGAGAACAAGTGTGTTCAGGAAGCCATTGTGGCTCAGAGAGAGTCGTTATAGAGGGATGTCTAATAAGAAGCAGACCAGTCTTCTAATCTGCTGGGGGTGGGAGGAAATAAGGGTGCCACATGACTCCAGTTGACACTTCTGAGCTATGTGACAGAGGTACCTGTATCCCAAGTATGGGGATCCAAACTGCCTCCTCGTGAGGAAGAAATTCACTTCAGAAGAAAAGTACCAACCATCCAAAGCAAAAAGCCAAACTTAGCCTGTCCATACTTCCTTACTTCCTGGCTCTATAGACCAGGGAGTTCCTTGGTCCCAGATCTTTCTGTCAAGGGCACATTGTTCTCTTCGATAGTAATTCACATTAAGAGCTGTTAGATATTGCTCAGTATTATCCCTCCATCTCCTCCTTGGTCAGCCGTGAGGCCGGACACCATAAATAGGGCCCTGTGTAAATCACATTTTCGTGGAGGGCATGGAAAATGCCCCCAAACTGTGGTCTTTGACATATTTTTCCTTACAGTTAACTACATTTACTTGTCAAATTCATTCCTTGCAAACTGTTGGGAATTTTCTAAAAAAAAAAGGTGATTTATACAGGGCCTTAAACATAAGGATGCCCTTCCTAGAGACACTAACTTACGTGGTCTGTCTTCTGTCATTGTAACCACATGCCCTGCCCACTGAAGTCATTGGGAATTCTTTACTTTTACTATACTTGGGTCTCCATCGACCTCCCACAGTACCCTATTAGATTTCTTCTCTACACACCATTCTCCTTAGCCCATCCATATGGGAACATAAATTTGCATCATACCTGATGCTCAGAAAGAGAGCTTTGAAGAGCATGCAGAGAACCAGATAGTCTAGCTTGGGTTTCTTCAGACGCACACACATTTCATGGGCTCGATAGCCTGTGGAGAAAACAAATGTATTAAGTGTCTCTCCCTTAATACTGACACCTTCTCTTCACAGTATATGATGAAAGCAGACTTACCTAATTGAATAGATAGGGGCAGGTTACCCAAGCAGAGCTTCATATAGGCCAATGACTGTGCTAATTTAACTGTTGTTAATAGCCCTCCTCCAATAACCTGGAGGTGAGAGCTACGCTGGATGGCCATCAGCTCATATTTCATCCATTCATCTTGGTAACCCATCATCTGGCAGCAGAGTGAGAATTCCGTATAGGACGAAATGATCTAAAATGTTCCAAACAAGAAAAAACAAGAGCCTGAAACTGTTGACTGAATCGTTATCTTGTGTAGGTTCAAAAGGGACACATGGATAAACCAGAAGCCCCCAAATTTCTTTGTTCCTTTTTCTCTTACAACATTGACCATTAAAAAAAATTAGGATTATTAATACTAACATTTATTATGCTCATGTCTAAAGGCTCCATTCAGGATCCTGCCCCCCGTGCTAGGTGCTAAGGCACAGAATATAAACTAGTGTACATAAAATTAGCAATAGCTTAAAAATCAAAACCAAGCTGAACTGTTACAATAAAAAAATGAAACTGAACCTCAGATCAACTCTTTTGGGAGGTTTAAAAAAGCTTGGTGAACTGTAATTGTTTGTCATTTCACCACATCTCTGCCTCCCTAGTTCTTACCAGAGACAGAAGTGCTGCAACATTACAAGGAAGACCATGGGCATGTTTTACCAGCCAAGACAGAAAGGAGCAAGCATGCTGGAAATCTGACAAGAAATCTGGTTTTCCATGAGATTTCCAGCCCCAGAGGCTTAGACAGTGTGAATGAGGTTCAGAAAAACATCAGAACATTGGGATGATTATCCAAAGCAAAGCTTTTACAGGTCAACCCATTGCTCGTTGAAATCAGACATCTGCTCCATAACAGCCAGGATGCCCCAATTGCAGGGTGTGTCCTGTCATCACAGTTACTTCCAATGCTGCTAGTTACTTCCTCTTCTTTGGGGGCAGGAGGAGAGGGTTCCCAGCGGCAAGGGTGGACCCACCTGGCTCTCATCCTCCGATTCCTCTGCTGAGTTCACCTTCATGAGCGCTGCCAGACGACAGAACTTCTTGCTGTTTGTAGCAGTGTCCAGGCTGAAGAGTTGCCACAATAAGGAAAGGCAGTGGCCCTGCTGGTACAGGAAAGCTAATTTCTTCTCCCTGTCACACAAGAGACATCTTTAGCCAGAGCAGATCACAGCAGCACAAAGATCTCACTATTGCTACTAATTAAACAGAGAGCCGGGGTGGGAGGAGGAAGAGGCGGGATCCTGAACTGGACTTTTCCTCCTCCTCCTAGGAGAGGAGACATGGAGGATTCCAGGAGCAGGAAAGGGGAAAGGAGGAAGTAGCAATTGGATGATGGGGTATCAATTGGGGGAGGGTCAGTCAGCGGAGGGATGGCATTGTGGGGGAAGTGGATGTAGAAGCAGGGAGGTTGGGGGTAACTGTGGGCATTGGGAAGGAAGGGGAACTCTGCTCCCCAACTTTGGCTGGCTGCAGAAGGGAGCAGCACAGAGGAACCTGAGGCTGCTTTATGCAGCAATACTGAGAACCCTCCCCCTTCCCTGGCCACTACAGATCAGCTGTTAGGTTCCAGCCAGTGGGGATTAGCCATTGTAGCCCTGTGCCAGCAGGGGTTGCTCTGTCAGCAGAGGGGAGCAGGAGGGGCTTGGCTAGGGCATGAGGCAGCACCATTGGCTGGGGCAGAGGCTTCTCCCCCACCATCCTGCAAGCATGGGGAGGTACAGTTATGGGGAGGATCAGAGGGGACAGCTGTGATGGAGATATGGGGAAAGCCATGCTGTCAACTCTCATGATAGTTGGCATTTTTCTTAAAGCCCCAGCTCCTGGAGTCATGGGATCACAGGAAAACCTTGGCTGCCATTTATTATTTCAAAAGAACAAGGTTCATATTGTGAAGAAAAGCTTGAGAGACTGGTGATCTTGGGGGAAGGGAAGAGAAGCCAGAAGAGCTGAGGGGGAGAGAAACTGACTGGGATGGGATGCTGTTTGGGGCAGAGAGAACGAGGAGTCTGAGGCAAGAGGGAGAGAAGGAGTGAGTGTGGGGAAAGCAAGAGGGGAGACTGGGAACTGATGGAGGAGAATCTTGACAGGCGGTGCAGCACAGCTGGCTCAGGGGGGAGCTGTTGGGGAGTCTGGATGGATTTCACATGGAGAGAAGTCTGGAGAGGGAAGGAGGGTGGAAGCTCAGCTCACCATCTGGAGACTGCTACAGTGTAGGCTGGGAGCCTGCCACTGGGGACACTGTAGCGGGAGGCCAAAGTAGGTGTTGGGTGTTTTGTTGAGGGGTATTGGATGAAAGGCAGTTGTGCTGGGACATTTTGGTGATCCAGGGAGGAGGGTGGCTTCATGGCAGGGAATGACTGTCCATCTCCCCAACCAGTGAGGGCAAGAGGTGAATGTAATGTGGGTGGGAGGGAGTTGTGGCAGCCGGAAGGGGGTTCCAGCAGAGATGGGGAAGAAGGTGAGCAGAGGAGGAGGGTGGCAGCAGCAGGGGGATACGGTGAGGTACGTTGGGGATTCCTAGGGGAGAGGTGAGACAGCCTGACTCTCCCCTTGTGCCTCAACCCAAACTCTGTCATCTCACCCCTCAGGGCCTCACCTACCCCTCCTAGAATCCAGCCTTTTCCTGCTCACTTTTCCCCCCACTCCTAAAATCCCCCTGCTGGACCATCTGTCACTTCTACCTGTCCTCACTACCTCACCTTCACCCCCAAGCACCCCATCTTCTGACTCCCCTTCTCCCCTCCTGCCTTAACCTTTCACCTCTGCCACTTCCTCCTTTCTACTGCCTTAACCCTCACCAGCCGGTACCCCGGGCTGCCTCACTGATCTCTGCCCCCAACCCCTCCCCTTCTGTTCCACCACTGCCTCCCTTCCACTGGGGCTCCCTTATCTCCCCCTGCTTCCCTCTCCACAGCACGTCCCCCATTAAGCACCCCACTCTGATATCTCCCCTTCCTGTGGTACCTCCATCCCCTCATGCTGATACCCCCACTGCCTCACTTCTCTCTCTCTGCTTGAATCCCCAACAATACTATCCCGCATGGCCCAAAGGGTCTTTCCATAACACCAGATGCTTTTCCTTGCTTCCTCTGCCCCCATTGGCCCCAAAGCCCATGGCTCCCAACAGAGCTTCTCCTAATCTCAGGTGCCCTTTCACCTAGGACATCCCTGAACCACTAAGATGATGACTTCTTGCTCCACAACCTAAAAGAATGCTCGTAAACACATTACACAGCCATGCAGTAGAATATATTCTGTTAAAGCACTGACACTGTTCAGGTAGATTATTTATAGTGCAAATAAAAACCTTACAAACTTGTTTACATATGTTGCACCCATTTTTAATCACAAACGGGTAAATTGAAGCACTGTTCCCAGACTGAAATATGAGCATTCCCATGACGAGACTGGTTAGCGAGGAGAGGCCAACATTTGGAAATAATGCCTTTAGCAGTAGCAGGGAGTATAAATATATTCTCAAAAGCACATGCATTTCTTTGCAATCGATTCCTGTTTTCCAAAATAAATGCCTCGCTTTAAGGTACTGTACCATTGGGAATGCACATATCTGTAATTCCCCCTTCACTAGAGTATGTAAACACCACTATTTAAAGCCCCCACTCTTCATGTGCTTAATTTGAAGCATGCAAGTTACATGCTTCCAATTAAGCATGTGCTTAAGTGTTTGCAGGATTGAGGTCTAAATGACAACCAGGGACTAAGGTAAAATCCACCCAACTTGGTTTTACTCCAGTTCTACTTCCTACCCTTTACTGCGACTATACAAGAATTGCTGCTTCTTCTGGTGAGACGCGTGCTTTGACACTTCCACCAGAGTCTTAAAAAAGACTCCAATCAAGGTAAACGGGAATCTTCTGTTTAATAAAATCAAAGCCTTCCTGATAAATTTCTTTGCCAAATTCATTTGGCCCATGTTATAACAGACCTGCAGAGAGGAAGGGAGAGTGAGACAAAGACCGTTTGTAACATTATCAGCCAGCTGCACGTTCCAAAATGGTCGGGCTCTCAGCTGCCATTTTCTAGCATGACATCAATGCTGGAGCCAAGGGCGGAGGTGGGGAGTAGAGAGTAGGTTGGGTTAAACCTCATTGAAACTGTTGTGACCTCCACCCCTCTTTTAAGATAGCTGTGAGAGACAACTCAGTGGCCCCACCTAAAGCAAAGGGGGCATGCAAGCCCATCCAGTAGTTTGGACTTTTAGTTTTGGATGAGATTGTACGGACATAGGAGGGAGACACAGAAAACCTCCAATCATCTTCCAGGATGGCCCCGACCAGATACATAAGGAGGTTCTTCAATATCTTGCTGTCTCTTTACCTCACCCTTCAGGCTGTAGAAGGTAGCTTCCTCAAACTGGTTAATTACAGTCGCTCTGAAGTCCACCGATTTGATCAGATTCTCTGCTGTATTCAAATTGCAAAAGGCCTAAAGCAAAGCAAACCACAGAGAAGGGTGGGTGACCATCTGTGCCGCACACTTTCTCCAACCCCACCACCCGCTGAAGAGAGAAGGCTGGATTCTCCCATCTGCTACGGCCACTGCAAGCAGCCGGAGATGGCCAATGGAGAATCCCCTCTGTGCAGGGGGAGGCAGCTCTGTGTCTCCTGCTCCCCTTCTCCCATGCCCTGTGGCAGGGGAAGGAGGGAGTGTCCTGAGGGCAAGGTGGGAGCAGAATGGGGTCATGGCAAAGCTTTACACCTGATCTTCCACTAGTGGAAGCCTAAGCTAGAGCTGCCCTTGTGCAGCTATCTCACGCCAGGGCAACATGGCACTGAATCATGGAGCTGCAGCTGTGCACCCTGTCTCTTTGCCACCCTAGCTGTGCTCACTCAGGGGTGAATCAAGCCACAAAGCAAAGGGAGCTCTCTTCACCCTGTCTAGGACAGCAACATTGCTTTCTTTCCCCTGGGAGTAACCCAGGAGCTGCTGGAGCTGCCTGTAGAGCTGGGACATAATGCCCATGGGTTTCTTTGGCTGAATGTATAGAGGAAATGTAGTAGTGAAGGACTGATGGCACTGAGTCCCAGTCACCCTTCAACCCCCCCACCCTCCTCCACACACACAGCCCTGCCGATGCACCTTACTCCTGACCTGCGTGCCACCTCCTCCAGGCTATTCCAGTCGAGGGCCCCTTCCACAGCTCAGTAGCATACTCCAAACCTGACTAGAAGCACCCCATCTCTCCCATGAGCTCTCCATGGTAGAGATTGCTAACTCATACGATGAGTTTTGTCATATGACTAAATGTCACCCAGAGACTACGATGGGCTTCCCAAAATCATGTCCCTAATGATCTCCTTATCCTGCCACCCCCCACCCCCATGCCCCCAGCCTCTTGAGGACTGAGGCTAGTGCCCTAAACCACCACGCCTTTGAACATTCCTCACCCCACTCTCGCCACTATAGTCACTATACTGGGGGGATGGGTGAAACCGCCTTGAGGTCAATGGGTGTTAGAGCCGGCCTTCACTCCAGACAAATGTATAAGGCACTCAGCTCTTTTCTGGAACAGACAGCTAAAGCAATAGGAGCCTCCCCCCAAAACACAGGCCACAGGCAAAGCTGGAGCAGGAGTTGATCCATGTGACCTAAGAGGTTTCCTGGAAGTCTGATAACAAACACAGGGCTGGGGATTGACTGGATTGCACAGGCGTGTGTGGGTGTGAGAAATACCACAGAAAGACCCAGAGAAGTCAGAAGAAAGCCAAGGACAGCCACAGAAGGACTTGTAGCATGACCCAGAGAAAAAGGTGAGAGAGAGAGCATTTGGGCACAGTGCTGTCTGGAAAGAAGCTTGGATCTGTGAGCAATTAACTGTCTCCAGCTGTTTGAGTCCTACAGTGTTCAGGGAAACAGAACTTTATGTACATTCCTTGTAAATAAAGAGAATTGCATCAATGACATGCCTGACTCAGTTTCTCCTTCTAATAGAAACAACCCACAGGATCCCAAATTTTGACTAAAAGCTCAGGTCAAAAGGGGTAATAATATTAAACCGGCTGTATGCTTGTAATCTCCCATGTGCTATGTCTGTGACATTAAAATCCTGCGCCACAGCTCAGGGTCTCTAACAAAGTAGGAAGGAGAGGCAAGGAAAATGTAGGGCCTAACACCACCATTCTGAAAGAATCAAAGAACATGTGTTCCTAGATGAAATCTGGGACAGCCTGTTAATATGGAGAGAAGTAAGAGGGAAACCAAGGGAGAGGACATGAACTCGCATGGGATCAAGGGAGCAAAGCAGCTCACCATGTAGTTGTTTGACAGATGTAAGTAAGCCGCTGCACACTCCAACAAGTAATACAAGGCTCTGGCGTATTCGCCCATCGCCATGCAGTGCCGGGCCAGGGGCACAAAGACAGACTCCACGATCTCTTCACATTTGCAGGATCCCAAGCGCCTGATCTTCTCCTGGTCCCTGTCGGAATGCTGAATGATCTCGTCCAGCCTCTCCAGAAACTCCTTCTCTATCTCTTCAGCTCTGGCCGGAGACAAGATGGCAGAGAAGGGGCAGGATTCCCCTGTCACAAGGCTTTCTTGTGTGTCCGCGTGCGCAGGGTTCGGTAGAATTCACAGTTCTAATTCCCTGGTGCTGTTTTTATGTTGTTCTCGTGACCCAGGGAATGGTGCTCTCTGTCCCTAAACTCCTAGCCCCTCCTGGGCCTTTACGGCACAATTCTAGAGGAAGACTATGGTATTCCTTTATGCAGGGCAAGTTTAAGGCAATCTGCAGCTCTTGGCACACCCCCACATGAGGTCTTGTGGCCACTAGAGGGTGGACATGTGGCAATTCTCTCCCACCACCATCTCCAACAGGCACAGCAGAGCCCCCCTTCTCCCTGGGCCATGCCCTGTCTGCTGTGGGGTGGGCTCAAGCAGCTTCCTCCCTAGCTACAGTGGCTGCTGCTCCCCTTCAGACTCAGGCAGACATCACATCCCTGCATCAGTTACTCTCTCTTCTGTTTTTTCAAGTTATTTTTTGCAAGGGCTGGAAACAGACTTCTTAAAAATGAAAGCTGAGATGCAGACATCATTGCAGGATTCCTGGAGGGAGCCCAGGCCCACAGCACAAGCCTGTGATGTTAGCCAGCCCTGGCACCCTGTGCTTTTGGCCAGGATGCAGGCAGCCCTTTCTCTGCCTTGCTTGAGAAGACAGAACTCCATCGCCTCTGACAGCACCAGCACCTAATCCCTCCTAAAAAGAACAACCAAAACCATTTCAGCTTGGAAATCTTCCTGTTTCTTAACATGCCAGAGAGAAAGCGGAGCACAAAAGTTGGCTAAAATGTACCTGACTGAACAGTGGCTCTACAAAAGAACTTTGTAAGCAGGCCTGAGTACCTTACCTTGGATAGAAAAGAAATGTGATCTAAAAGCTTGCTTAATCTGTATCTCCTGCCCTTGGCTCATGTGCAGCAGGACTGTGAACCACAGATGGCCCGGACAGTATGGAGCTTTCATGACTATCTGTCTTTCCCGAGCAGGATCTTGAAAATGTGAATTGAGTGTAAACAGATGGAGAGATGCCTGCCTGAGTCTGCAGAGAGCCTGAAACAATCATTCTGAGAGTGTGTTCTACCGTATCCACCTCAAACAGGGCTCCATCGACTCTGCTCTTCATGGCTGTGCAAGTTGCCATTTTTCCAGGATGCCACAGAAACCACCATTTCTGCCATGGAATTCACTGTTTTGCTGCATTCAGGCACTCACCGTTTTATCTTCCTGACCTACCAGGACCTGTCTGCAGCTACCTCTTGCTCTGTAGATTTCCCCACAACAGAGAGTTATTTCAGTGCACGCTCCCTGCACTGTTCCATGGAGCCAGGGACTGGGGAAAGTGCCAACTCCATGGAACAGCACAGGCTGGTGAGCTAAGCAGGCTGGAGAATGGTACAACAGCCAACATCTGAGAAGATGAGCCACTAAGCCAGCTCCCAGCTTCCCACTTCCCTGGCATCCATGGGGGAAGAGGGCTCTGGGGGCAGGAGCTAAGGTTTGGGGTGTGGAGCAAGGCCACCCAGAGGGTGTAATGAAAAATCCATTCTTGGACTGTTGAAAATAAACAAATTCTACTGCAAGAATGTTTAGCTATGAGCCACAGGGGGATAGGAAGGAGAGTGAGTGGGAATGAAAGGCATTTCCGAGAGTAAATTAATGCTGCTGTAGAATGTAGGATTCCCATTTTGCCATGGAATACATGGGGCCCTGACAGTAGGGATGTTCCATTCTAAGAGAATCCCTCACACCCTCCAAACTCCCAATCTCCGTGGGTATCTCGCACCCCATCAGATAATGTCTTCCCCCACAGGTAGCAGCCAAACCCATATATTCCACTCACAACCTCTGGAGCCCCTAGGAATCTATTTCTTTGTAAAGTGGTCTGGTGAATGAAGACCTTGCTCCCGTACTTAAGATTTTCCTCTGGCAACATCTTGTGTTTCTTTAGTGCCTTTAGAGTCTCTGGAAAGAAAATCAACCATGGGGTTCAATGCAACATCATATGTCCTGGAATAAGAGCCGCTTTTTACCATTCTCTAGCACTAAGATAATGAGATGAAATTCCATAACATAGGGAATGTCTTCACTGCAGACTTAGCGTGTGACATACCAGGCCAGGAAACTCCAAAGGCCACAGTTAATGGGAAGAATCCCACCCACCCAAAAATCCTCCAAAAGCTGACGGCTTAAAGAGGAGAAACACCCACTACTCCCAAAAATGTTCTTTATGGCCCAGATCTTCAGCTGGAGTAAATCAGCATAGCTCCATTGATGTCAGCACAGCTACACCCACTTACACCAGTATATGATCTAACCCAGTGGTTTTCAACCTATTTACCATTGTGGGCCGCATATGTGGCCCACAACGTGTTATGTGGGCCGCATCCAATACTACCTCTATGACCCTGAGGATGTCACATGGGCCGCAGCTCTGTGCTGACTGGGCCACAAGCAGCCCGTGGGCAGCAGGTTGAGAACCACTGGGTGGGGGTTTTTGCCCAAACCTGTTAGTCCATAGTGCACTTCATCAAACTGTTAAAGGTTCTTTTCAGTGCAGCATTTTAGGCTTTGGCTACACTAGCACTTTTGTTGGCAAAACTTTTGTTGGTCAGGGTGTGTGTGAAAAAACACACCCTGACTGACATAAGTTTCACCAACAAAGCGCCAGTGTGGACATGGCTATGTCAGTGGGAAAGCATCTCCTGCCGACATAGTTACCGCTGCTTCTTGGGGGTGGTTTAAATATGCAGACGGGAGAGCTCTCTCACGCCGGCATAGAGCGGCTACACATGAGACCTTACAGATTGCCGCTATATGGTCCATAGTGTAGACATAGCCTTAGTTAGTCAGAAGGAAGGAGGAGAAATTCAGTTCCCTCTAGCCACCTTTTTTGTTTGTTGCTTTCTTTTAAACAATATTTTTCATTCCTGAATTTTTCAGGCTAATATATGATGCTGAGGAGCCAAATTCTGCTCTCTGTTACAAAGATGCAACCCCCATTGAAATCAGTGGAAGTCCAATATCTAATAAATCTGTGATTTGAGCTAGACAAGCACAGTTCTGTTTGAGTTAGAAGCTGTTACAGTCAAGCATGAATTTGGTCTTCAATTTCTCATTGCTGCACTGACTGAGTCTAAAAAGAACCCCTGGCTGATCTGTAACATTCCAGGAAGATAAGCTTGAATTTACCTTTCTCAGTGTCTTGTGGAAGTAATGACTCTAACTTCTTGGAGACAGTAGAAGTAGTGATGTCTGAAATTCAGAGAACAAGGGAGAAGGCATATCTAAGGGTGCCTGCCACACACATCCTTTGTTCAAGACAAATGGTTCTGGTACATGCTGCCTACATAGAGAAGAATCTTTACCGGCATTGGGGATCTGGAAAATTTCAGGAGATGGTTGTCTGGACACAGAGATCCTAGTCAAGGGTGCACCTGCTCAACATGAAAAAGAATCAAAGAATAAAGTTCCTCTGAAAAGCCACCTTAGAGTCATCACCTGCCTCTGCTTATTGGAAAGAGAGTGTGATGAGCTTTCATCGCAACCCCGCCTGCAGTCTGCAGATGAGAAAGAGAGTGCTGCATCTATGAAAGTGACTACCATCCCAATAGACTTGCCATTGGGCATTAGCCATTTTCTGTTGTACTCTTTTGTACATGATGACTTGAACACTCCATTCATTTCTTTCTGCAAAAGAACCACAACCAGCATAGTATGACTGTCTTTTGTATGTCATGTCAAACTCAGGTACTGACCATTCATGGTCATGAAAGATTTCATAGCACTTTTCTCAAAAGTTAGAGATGGCAACCCTGTTGTCCTGGCCTAATTTATTTGTGGAAATGTACATTCGGCTCCATAAACACCTTTCGGAGTGTCATTTGAAATAGTTATTCCTTCCCTCCTACTCCTTAAAACACCCTGTTGGGTAATGTTGCTGACACAGAGTAGTTGCAGTACTCCACCCCAGAGATGGCTGTATTTCATTGGTGGGTGAGTAATCCATGTTTAAATAAACTGTAAAACATGATGCCATTGAAAGACACTGTATAAATACTGTAGGAAGTTTGATTGTATTTTCAGTTCTCTGTTTGGCCCTGTTTTATTCCCACAATAAGCGTAATGCCCCTACTCCATTTGTTACATTCTTAGACCTGGTGTGATGAACAGCTCAGTGGTGTAGGGGAGAATATATAGAGAGAGAGGTTTAATTATTATCACAAAACACTACCACACACGGTACCTCTAATCCACCTAACTCATTTCATTACGAACTAAATGCCCAGTTCTTTCGCAGAGTCTGTGCAAAGCTGTACATTCTCATACATTAACATACTAGGTCAAATTCACTTCAGTCCAACTCCACTGAAGTAGGCTTACTCTTCTCTTTAATTATTTTGCAATAGGTTTGTGACATATTGCACATATTTTCCTACTCATACTGTGAACAGCCGCGTTCTTTAGAGAGAGCCAATGTTTCAACATTCAGACTGTCAGAACAGAAGCAGGCAGAAAGGAATGACCCAAATTGGAACTTGATCAGAACACCTGGGCTTGGATCCTTCTTGTTGCCTCACTTGCTGTAGGATCTTACAGAGCTCAATTTTACATTTCATCTGAACAGTGGGAAGTCTTCAGCCGGGCGACACTCCCTAGCACCATGGTAGGGCACTAGGTCAGTACTGACTCAGAGGACTAGGCCTCAAAGGTATTTAGGCACCGAGCTTCCATTGAAATCAATGGGAGTTAGATGCGTAAATACCTTTGAGGAGCTGGGCCATAGTCAATTGCTCCCTGTGATGGGGCTTTCTCCCCATCACCTGCAAGGCAAGGGAAAGAACCCCAATTAGTCATATTCCACACTTAAGGAGTGATTAACTAATTGCCTCCTGGCCAGAGGAAACGGAGCAAGGCATTTTAAATAGACAGAGGGTGCTCAGGTGGGGACAGACTACAGAGCACACAGGTTTCTGATGGAGCAAAGCCTTGGAAGCGGATTTAACAGACAGGAAACACCAGAGGAAGAACTCTACAGGAGCGAGTTAGGCCCCTGCAGGAGAAGCCCTGAGGGAGGGCCAGCCAGGGAACTACAGTGGACCCTGGGGCTGCAAAAGAGGTATTAGTTTGGTGATCTGATTGGACTTTCATTTGGACTTCATGTTATCCCTGAAAGGGGTTTAAATTTCCATGTGCCTTGGCCTTATGGCCATGCCACAGCACACCCAGAAGGGGCAAAGAGGAAGCCTGAGAAAGGCCACTGAAGGGCAGAAAATGAGCCCAGTAGGTGAGGCCAGAGACAAGGACCCTGTGCAAGGCAGCATGAGGGGTGCCCACAAGGTGAGGATGTGCTACTAGTACTACGCTGCCCCTGAATCCTTCTCCGCTCTCCATATCAGTGGTTCCCAAACTTGTTCCGCTGCTTGTGCAGGGAAAACCCTTGGTGGGCCGGGATGGTTTGTTTACCTGCCACGTCCTCAGGTTCAGCCAATCGCGGCTCCCAGTGGCTGCAGTTTGATGCTCCAGGCCAATGGGAGCTGCTGGAAGAGGCAGCCAGTATGTTCCTCGGCCCACACCGCTTCCAGCAGCTTCCATTGGCCTGGAGCAGCAAACCACAGCCATTGGGAGCCATGATGGGCCAAACCTGCAGACGCGGCAGGAAAACAAACCGGCCCAGCCAGGCCCAGCCGGGGCTTTCCCTGCACAAGCGGTGGAACAAGTTTGGGAACCACTGCTCCATACCAATTCTTTACCTACCTCTTTTGTTTTCTTTTTTGTGCTCTCTCTCTCTCCATACCTTCACCCAAATTATTTCACTCAATCTCTCTCCCTTATCAGCCACAATCCCTTTTCATCCCTCTTTCTCTCCACAGCTCCCTGGGTTTTAGCGTGGTGGTCTCGCCTCGCTCCCTCCAGGTTACTGTGAATTCTGTATCCGATGGGGCATTTTACCTTCACTTGTCCTCTGGACACTTTCAGGGGAGCATATAGTGGCTAGGGAAGCCTCAGCTGTCACAGCTTTTCGCTCCATCCCTGCCAAATCGGAGGGAGAAACAGACGTTAATAAAGAGCTGTAGAACAACTCCTCATCGCTATCCGCATGGTAGTGGCCAGCAGAAGCCAGTGGGCCATTGTGCTAGGTGCTATACTGACTCAGAATACAAAGATGGTCCCTCTCCAGAAGCACTTACCCTCTGTCTTTTAAATGTTTAGATTGTAAGTTCTGTCCTCAGTTAGACCCACTCAACCCCACCGACTGCCCATGGGTAGGGCCCTACCAAATTCACAGCCGTGAACAACGCCTCACGGACCGTGAAATCTGGTCTCCCGCATGAAATCTGGTCTTCTGTATAGTATAGGGTAAAAGTACACAAATTTTACAGGGGAGACCAACATTTCTTAAACTAGGCGTCCCAACCCAAAAGAGGGCTGTGGGGGGGGTCACAGTATTGCCACCCTTACTTCTGCCTTGCCTTCAGAGCTGGGTGGTCGGAGAGCAGCAGCTGCTGGCCAGGTACCCAGCTCTGAAGGCAGTGTCCCACCAGCACCAGCGCAGAAGTAAGGGTGGCAATACTGCGACCCCCCCCCTAGAATAACCTTGTGACTGCTCAGCCCCCTTTTGGGTCAGGACCCCCTTTTGGGTCAGGACCCTTGCAGTTACAACACCATGAAATTTCAGATTTAAATATCTGAAATCATGAAATTAATGATTTTTAAAATCTCATGACCATAAAATTGACCAAAATGGACCGTGAATTTGGTAGGGCCCTACTGGTAGGAGTTACACAGCCAAGGCCCGCTGTGCTCTGTGAAACAACTGTTATTTATTATTTGATTGGCATAGTGCACAGGAGACCCAGTCACAGATCAGGACCCCACTGTGCTAGGGGCTGTACAAGCACAGAACAAAAGGTCCCTGCCTCAAAGAGCTTGCAGTGGACCAAATCCTGCAGCAGACCAAATCCTGCACCAGAACTCCTAAATTCTACCAACAGGATGAATTCCTTGGAAAATTCTATGGCTGCTGAAACAGAGTCCACAGGGCCCTGATTAAGATGAATGGGACACGTCACACCTCTCACAGCCATTTTTCCTCAAAGCCATTGTTTCAGGCTCTCTGCAGACTCAGGCAGGTGATACTGCATCTGTTTCCATTTTCTCCACCATCATAAAGCCTATAAACACATATGTTCCAACAGAAGAGCTCAGATTATGAAGAACAGTTCTGGGGCAAGGACACAGTTCCCCAGCAAACCCTGCAGCCATGGAAGTGTGGAGTACTCTAGGCCCTGTGTCTAGGTGTAGCTGAAGGCAGAATTTGGCCCAGCCCAGGTATCCCCTTCACATATCATCAGCCCAGCTAACATAGCCTCCTTCCCTGCACACAATCCTTCCATTCCACACCTCTGCCTGCTTCCCACTACTCCTTCACAGCCCCATGCTGCCCCCACCACAGCCCTGGACTTTCCCCTACCCTTCAGCTCCTGACACCAGACCTAAAGGCTGAGCAGAAATGTGAGGGGGCATGGAAAGGTTACAGCATATGTGGGGCTTGAGGAGTAGAGTGGGGATATAGGGGAAAATAAGGGGATTGGGAGGGCATGGAAAGGGGGCCAGGATGCCTCTCCACATTTCCCCTAGGGCGGGAGGGGATATGGAGCAAACGGGACTACTGGAGGTGAAGGAGAAGGGAGAGAGGGACTTGGCAAAGGTGTCTGGTGCATCCCACCAGCTAGGAGCAGAAGAAGCCCAGAGGTACACTTAGTCACACCCTCCAGGCCCCAGGTCTCAGAGAACGCTGAGGCTCAATACATGCCCGTGCAGATGCGTTGAGGACTGTGCATTGTCTGCATAGCCCTAGTCTCTGCAGCAGTGAGCAAAGCCCTCCCAGCAGCACGGTCCCTTGGGGAGCCCAGTAGAAACCGGGGATTCCATTTACCTTCAAATGAGGGTGCCTGAAGATTTTTCAGGGTTGTATTAATGATCAGTGAGGCTGCTTCACTGAATGGGTATTCCTTGTGCTGCTCAGAAATGTCTTCCTGAGACTCAGTGTTCACCAGAATCATCTCCACGGTGTGGCGGTGAAATGAAATGAAGTCCCCTTCTCCGCAGCGTCTGCATTTGTGAGCCTGCCCTTCTAGATAGCTCACGCACTTGAGATGTAAGGCTTTCTTCTGGCTCTTCAGCCAGACCTCATAGGCCGCTTCCTGCAGCAGCGGTGTGCAGAACGCCATGATGCTGCATTGCATCACCAGCTGCTCTTGCTTGATTCGGTTATAAACAGAAGAGCGGATATCTGAAAGACAACGTGGATTTATCCATAAACTCTCAGCTAGGCCAGCTCTCATGCAGGGCTCTGTTTCTGCTGCAGCCACTGATGGAACTGTCCACGCTGAAGGTGTAACACTGTCCTGGGGAGTGGGTGGTAGGGATTAAACCCAGAACCACCAGGTCTGAAAGCATGAGACATTACTGCCTGAGTTAAAAATAGCCGTCCTTAGCCACGGATGTAGTAGGCTTCTCAACCTCCACATTTGGGCCAGAGTTCCACACTACATGGATTATCACCACTTGGTTATACACCAGCAGACTCCGAAATAACCTCATCCACTTTAATTCACTCCTGTTGCTATTGTTGGTGCCAGACTTGCACTGAAATAACAAAAGATAGATATATGGTGATTTCTGTGCCAATCTGTGTGTAGACAAGCCCTTAGACACCAAAGGGAGAGTTTGGTGGAATCTAGGTGAGGTAGGAGGAGAACAGAACAAAATAAATTCAGGGGTAAGACATATTAGCTCATACCAGCCCATTTTGACAGTACGTTAGGGGGTTTGGAATGACTATAATTTAGTGCTTTAAAGTATATGCTGCCACATCATGGTTATTATTATTTGTATTAAAATAACTCAACAGAGATCTCAACTGAGCTGAGGGTTACATTGTCCTGGGCACTGTATAAATGCATAATAAAAGATCATCCCTGCACCAATGAGTTTATAATCTACATACGAATCAGACAAAGTTGGGGATGGGAAACTGAAACACAGAGCCAGAAGTAGAGCTTAGGTTTCCTGTGTGTGTCAGGTCAGTTTCCTATCCCCTGCACCCAACTGTCTCTCTCTAGGTACCGCAGGAGTGACTTGAATGCATTTACAATAGCATTCCTAATGCTGCAACAGCTGAGTTTTTTGTATAGAATATTCCTTTATTTTTTTAAAGAAAAAAGGCATTGATGATTACCCTGAAACAGATGCTTCTCAGGAGTTTATTTCAAAGCGTGATGCGAGATTCTGTTGTGTAGGCTGTGACTGTCAGTAAATACATTTAAGATGCAAGCAAGTACTAAAGCTACAGGCAAAAAAAATCTAATGATCTGTACATTCCCTCCCTACTAGAAATAACCCTGCACTTTATGCATGTTAACAAGATGGATTCACACAGCACTCTGGAAAGATCACCAAGAACACAGACAAGGAGCAGTGGGATTTCAGCACACTCTGGTGCCCCCAGTCCCTGGCCAGCTCCACGTACCTGACTCTTGTCCAGTTGATCTGACCATCCCTCGGCAAACAAGTAACTCTATGGAGGGCATATCCTGTGATTGTGCATTCTGGGAGTCCTTTCTTTTATTAAAACACTTGAAGATGTGGGAATCCACCAGGGTTGCAAGCGTCTGGTTCATCTTCCTCTTGGTCCATTCAGGAAGGATGTGGAGCAGCAGCTCAGTCGTGAAAGTCAGCCCGATGATAGCCGCACACTTCACTACCATCTGCTCCGAAGGGCTCATGTTGTCTAACTCAGCCAGTGCAATGCCTACCGAAAACAAGTCATCCAGTAAATCATCACTTCTCCATGCTGGGTGCTCCTGAGACACCAAGACAGTAAGATTACAGTGGTTAGCTTTAGCGTTGGGGGTGAGAGGAGGATGGACGTCCTATCTGGATCCTGTCCTTTTTACCCTACAAATGAACTGACCTGAGTAAAGTCTGCTGCAGTATCCACAGTATGCATCCGATGAAGTGAGCTGTAGCTCACGAAAGCTCATGCTCAAATAAATTGGTTAGTCTCTAAGGTGCCACAAGTACTCCTTTTCTTTTTGCGAATACAGACTAACACGGCTGTTACTCTGAAACCTGACCTGAGAAAGCCAACACCTCAATTATCTCGTCTGGAAGCTGCCTTCACCAGCAACTACTGATAATGGCCAGTCATGGGGAATTCACCCACTGGATTTTTGACCATGAGTTGATCCAGGATCCACCATAACTGCTCAGTAGCTTGATTTGTAGAATTTATTAGGAGGGCTGTGTTTATATTAATTCTTAATAGTTTGTCGTTTAAATGAGTTTTAAAGCGGCTTCCCAGAACAGCATCAGGACTCTGCTGTGCCGAGCTAGAGTGCCGACTACTGGACTGGAAGCTTGGCATGACTCCAAGAGCAGACCAGCGTATTCAGGGATTAGACTGGGGCAAAAGGAGGGGAGAACCTTTTACAATACAAACGCCAGAAGAATGCCTGTTCAGCAGACTGTAGTAAGGCTGAGTAAGTGAGTGAGTGGCCTCCCTCCAAGCTGGAGAGCAAGGGACCACTACACTCCCCCTGGTGGGCAGAGCTAAATCTGCCATTCCCTCCCTCACCGGAAGTCCTGGGGCGGGACAGAAAGTATAAAAGGAGAACCCCAGAGCTCATTTGTGACTAGCAGGGCCGTCCTTATGCATAGAAGACTGCGTAGGGCACCTGAAAATTTGGGGCACCACTGAGTCTTAGTGTCCACCCTCCTGCCTCTTCCTATCCCTGTTCTGACCCTTCCTGCAGGCTCCCACAGCTAGGTGCTGCAGCCTGGTGACTCTTACTCTGGAGGGGATCTAATAACTTAAAAGTGAAAAAGCCTGCCATCCCTATTAGCACAACATTGAAACTGTTAAAGAGACATTCAAGTGCTAATGAAGCCATTTAACTGACATTTGCCAACCCCAAGGTATATACTGTCAGTTTCTGAATTTACTGACAAAAACAGTTGTGCATTACTGTAATATTTACTCAGAACATGTTAGTCTACAGGACCCTAGTTTAAAATTTTCTTTAAAAATATTTCATTAGTGAATTAGTGAAGATTATAAAATCACATCTCTAAAAATTCCTTGCATACATTTTTAGATGCACAATCATCTTTAGCCTTAAATGCTTGGATCTTCAGACATAGTTTTTTAAATAAATCCTTCAAAAGACCACCCTTATCTAAAATACACATTTTAATTTTAATTACTATAGTAAACAAAACTTGCTTCCAAAGTCTTCCTGTCCTTTCTGTCCATCCCCTTCTCCCTTCAAAGCCCACCCACCTTCCCACCCCTGTTGAAGAGAGCCCTTAAAGGGACAACACACCTTTCCTTTCAGATAGCTGGACAAAGAGTTTCCCTTTCTTTACTTCTGACTATATGATTAATTAGTTTTAAGAGAACTCTCCAGCAAAATCAGTACCTAGTAAGATATAAAAACCTTTGTTACGCCTAAAATCTTTGGAAACATATTTTTTAAAGTGGTAAAATTTCATAAACATGTCTATTGTTATGGAGATCACACAAAGTAAATTAGTGTTCCCTTTTTCTAAAAGCAATGAACATTATTATGAACACACTAAACCTCTGTGACTAATTAATTTAAAATAATGTCTTTGTTTCAGTAAGTTAAATATGTAGTAATCTGGAAGTATTACTTTATGAAGGCTTAAGAGTACATTTAAAATATTATCCGTATTTCTAAGCTGATTTTAAGAAAATGTAGAACAGAGAAGAGCTGCATCATGTATTCCATAATATTTGATATTGTATTCAGCAAGCCAGCAGACTCACCCTTACTACAAAGTTTTTGCAAATAAATCTCTGACAAACTTTAGGGCATATCAAAAAACCTGTGACGGACATTTTTTATTCCCAAGTTTAGTGCTTTTAATTAGGTACCTTCTGCATGTCCAGTCTTCACCATCTGGCATGCAGTGGAAAACATGCCCCGTTTTCTTTAGAAAGAAATTGCAGAAGAGTGGTTTTTTCAAATGTGATTTGTTTGGTTTCAGGGATTTGGCCGGAAGGGGGTGAGCAGGATGGGGGAGGGAAGAGAGGAGGGAGACAGTGGGGAGAGGGCGGGGTCTGGGTGGAGTGGGGTGGGGCCTGGGGCGGAGCAGGGGTGGAGTGTGGGTGGGGCCACAGGCGGAAGAGGTGGGCTGGGGAGCTAGCCTCCCCAAGCGGCCGCTTCACCCACAGCCAATGACAGCAGGTAAGAGCAGACTGGCTCCTGCACACCGAGCGCGCACTGCAGTCTCCTTAGGCAGGGGTTGTATTCACAGAGCTGAATGCCCCGGCGCTGCACATTCTGCATGAGAGAGAGGGTACGGGGGTCTCTAGGGGGAACTGTGACTCTCAGCCGCTGTGAGGTGGGCCGTGGGGCTCGGTAGCCTTTGCTGCCTCGTCCCTTCCCCCCCGCCTTTCCCCCCCAGGCAATGAGCCTGGGCTGCCATCGGGCATAGGGGTACCAGTTTAATAATACTGCGTAGGGCCCCATAAATCCTAAGGACGGCCCTGCAGACTAGGCCCTGAGTGGAGTTGTGCCCTGCAGTCGGAGGAGACAGACGAGAATCCCCAAAGACTCCCCACCACTGTTAGGGCCCTGGGCTAGGACCCGGTGGAGTAGGGTGAGCATAGGTCTCCCTATCCGCTGCTGCCAACCCCACCCCTGGGATGGCAATCTACCCACCTTAGGCCAGATGGTGTGCACTTGCCTGCTTTTGCTCTGCCCCAGTCAGGAGGCTGTGAGCCATAGACTGCCTGTGCTCTGCCCCCCACCCTCACCACCACCCCCCCCCGAGGGCCAGAGCTTCCCCATAGACTATTGATTACTACCTGCCTGTAGTGAGGCAGAGTGGCCTCCATCCCCACTTGAAAGTGAGGGACCACAACACAGACTTCTTGCCTAATTGGAAGGTCTGGCCTATTCTGCAAAGCTCAGACTCGTCCTTCTCCGCTTTGCTCCAAAGTTCAGACCTGCGCTGTCTGCCGCATTCAAGCTCCCAGGCCCTCTTTAACTGCTGCCCTTAAGGAACAGAATCATTGTGTCCCCACTGGCTGGAGACATCAGGATCAGACCCTTACCTTTTAACGTAGGGGGCAGCATAATATTTTGCAACTTAACGTTCTGGCGAATGGTGCAAATGTACAAGTCATTGTCTAAGCTGGAAAGTGATTCTGTTTTGGAGGGGATGACCTTGATTGCATTGGCTGCATGGAGAGAAAGAGGAGAAAAAACAATTACAAGAACTCACATTTTAATTTGTTTGCTTTTTAAATATAACCAAAGCAAAACAATACTTGGCAAGATCTGATGGGAACAGCCTTTTAGCCATTTTGGTGTGAGAGTAAAGTCTATCACCCAGCATGCAAAATGGGTTCCGTTGCATTTCTACTTAATCACAACATTCCGAGGCCGGCTCTTCTGGGGGCCAAAGCTTTCGTGTTTGGTCCCTGCCCAAAGGGATCGCCTAGATTTTCCAGATTTATCAGATCAATGGCCCATCCAGGCCAGTATCCCAGCCCCACCAGCTGCTTAGAAGAAAGCCGTAACACTTCTTCCCTTATGGAAATTTGGCACTAATATGTGGGGAAGTACCATCCTAATCCCAGGAAGTAAATGGCTGGTTTATGGCCTGAAGAAGCTGGGCTGCTATTTTTCTCTTCCCACTTATTTATTTAGGAAGTTTTAAAAGGCTTACAAAATCATTGTCATGGAATTATCATCATTTTGTTTTTGATATTTACAACAGCTTTTATTTAAAGAAACATTATTCAGCAATATAATCATCAGATCTCTCTAACAGGGTGTGTTACCTTTTCACTACACAAGACGTTTTGTTTCTGGTGATTGTATTATTCTGATTACCCATTTATCAAGCCAGGCATGTCCATCAAATGTTAATAATAAAAAACATGGACAGATGTGCTGGGTTTGGTTTGGTTTTGAGGCAAATGTACTTTGTCTGAATATTGAACAACATATCTAAGAATCTATCCCCTACATTTCTCATATCTTAGCTAGTATAACTGCAAGTGATACTATTCCAATAAATATCAAAATCTTTTCGAAGATATTTGTCTCCATATTATCTTATATCAATTAGTCCACAGATTAACTGTGTGCTGAGTAGGAAAGTATTTCCTTTAATGTTTTAAATATGTTGCTTTTTCATTTCACTGGATGGCAGCATAGTCTATTGTGGGAAACTATAACTATTCACTATTAGAGGGGTAGTACATAGCTGAAACCTTTTAAGGTTGCTAACAAATTGCATTATAACCCTCTTTTTCTGTGATTTATAGCTTTGTTAGGCATTAAGCTTTGGGACTGAAATTTTCCATGCTTGGTCTCTGCCTCAGATTGTTTTTTTTTTGAAAAGTTAAGATTTAAAATGGTTCCGCAGTTTTTTAATGTTAAAAAAAATGCATATCCCCCCCCCCCCCCCAACACACACCTCCTTTTTGAGCAGCTTTAGTGTCCCAAAGATTTGGAGCTGGAATAGAAATTTGTCAGGGACAAATAGCATCCAAGGGTTTTAACTCAGTCCCATGCTTTAACCAGTCAACCTTACTCCCCTCCTGGAGCCAGGAATAGAACCCTGCCACCCAGCATTCTACTGCTGCCTAGCAAAGTGCTGCTCAATGTACACCTCTTACCCTCTGCTGCCTCCCCGACCCTAGTCTCTCCTCCTTTCCTAGCCTGCGCAGCTACCCTTTCCATTCCCCTCAGCATTGCCCCTTACACGCTCCTTCCTTCCTGAATTCCAGCAACCAGTGCCAGGCTGACAAACGTTCCCAGAAAAGATGAGAACTGCCTGGGAGGGTGATACACTCTCCTGCGAACAGTATACAGTGGGCTGTGGCATTTAAGAACGTAAGAACGGCCATGCTGGGTAAGACCAAAGGTCCATCTAGTCCAGTATCCTGTCTTCCGACAGTGGCCATTGCCAGGTGCTTCAAAGGGAATGAACAGAGCAGATAATCAAGTGATGATGAATTAATGACAAGTAGCTTACTGAAAAGGATCTCCCACTCATCATCTACTTCCTCCTCCTCCTCCCACAGATGGAAGATGAGCATGTTGTTTAAATGGAGGTTCCGCAGCAGCTCCTCGCAGTAAAATGGGATGCCATGGCTTCTCTGTATCAAGAACCTAAAGAGAGGCAAAACTATCACTACCCATTAAAATAAAGGATTGCGATGCTCCTCAGGCGATGATGGGAATGGTAGCTACATAGACGCCATGGTGACAGGTGCCTTCACAACACCTAAGGTTGCAGTTGAAATGGACAAGGCTGCACCAAGTGTCCTGTATGCCTGCTATGTGGTAGATTGCAGGGCTGCTACAAGTACAGAGTGTAAACTGTACTGAAGATACAGAGTGTGTCGTGGGGTGAATGGGCATCAGGGCAGGGGGTCAGGCTCTTAGAATCAGCACTTAACGTAGCTATCGCCATTTACAACAGCTGAGGATCTGGCCCCATGTTCTTTTTTAAATGTTACTAACAGCAACTAGATTACTAAAACTGGACCCATCCATGTCAAGCCTAAATATTCTCTGCTAACTCCTCACATCGGTGGCACCACCTTCCTGCAGAGTTCCAACCTGTCACAGCCAGCCTCTTCCTCAGACACCTTCTTCCTTTCTCCCATAAAGCCCCATCAGTCACAGGAAAAGCTCCCTGGCAAAGTCCATCTAGTCCCCACCTTTTCCTTCTTCAAATCCCTCCTTAAAAGTCACTTCTGCCTTTATGCCTGCAAGACACTGCCAGCTCACATTGGCTAGGCCATCTGCGAGCCATAAGCACTGTTCATTTTGCTAAAATGTACTTGTTTGACTCTCACCCTTCCCATTCCCACACAACCATGCTCTTTGGCTACGTGTTGTAACATACAGTCTCAGTGTTTTTAGGGCAGGGACACTGGAGCCCTCATCCTGACTGGCACCCTTAGGCGTTACCATAATATAAATAAATGCCAAGATTTTCAAAAATGGGAGCTTAAAGTGAGGATCTTAAATCCACATTTGGGCACTTATATAAATTGCCTGATTTTTTCAAAAGTGCACCCAGCAGCTCCCATTGACTTCAACCATGCAACTTTAATTGTGCATATACACACTGATTCAATCTTTAATTAATTATTGTCCCCCACTCCCCCATGGGACTCCTTGCTTCAGTCAATGCACACAAGGGAATCTAGGATCCTATGGTTACACCAGTGTGGGGGTCTCACAGGAGTCCTTGGAGTAATTTTAAGGGTTCCTTCTACATATCCAAACCAGGAGGAGGGTAAGGAGATTCGCTTAAGCACATACAGCAGTTAGGCATCTAACTTCCGGATTGCTCTTTTGAAAATCTCTCCATTTTATACCAGGCTTTTTGTTTGCAACGTTATAAACTGGTTTGGCCAATATCCATTGACCGGGTTGCTATGACATTTGCTGTCTCTCAGCCACTTGAACTGCAAAGATTCAACATGTCAGTAAAGCTTCCTACGGCACAATATCCCCCAAGTCCGCTCATTACCTGATGTTTCATCGGTTCACAGATTCTGAGGTCAGAAGAAACCACTGTGATCAGCTAGTCGCACTGCCAGGGTAACACAGGACATAGAATTGCCCTGAAATAATTCCTGTTGGAACTAGAGCATCTCTTTCAGAAAAAAACATCCAGTGTTTTCGTACCATGCTTAGCTTTAGTATCTTAGAAAATATGGAAACAGTACTGGCATGCCCATCTGCATTACAGTAGTAAAATGGAAAAAACAATGATAACATTTTAAAATGCACTGTGCAGGGTTTTTTTAGTTGATTGCTTTTAGCTGAAGGCAGGTATCAAATAAGGCTTAATGCATTTTTAGCCTTGCAATTTGAATAGGTGAAAGGGCAACCTGGAGATAGACATTAGCTATGTCTGTTTATAAAGCTGGAGATGGAAGCCTAGTACAGACTGGGTTTTACTTAAGCAAAAAGGGAACTGCTGATACAACCCTGAGGACTCTCGGCAGGTCACAAATGGGTATAGCAATAGGCAAAAAGAGTCTAAAACTGGAATGAGTAGCCCAAATTTGAGGTACTGGCAGCTGTGTTCAGCTGGCTGGAATAATGAAGACAGATGGGTGGGTAAGTCACCACCTACCCCCTGTGGGACATGTTGAGAAGAGGTGTAGGAGCCACTGGCACTAGATGGCTGGGGGGTTACTCCAGAAAGCCTATGCTTTATTGTGAGGATTTTACCTTTGTTTGTGGGCTCTGGGAATTACTCTGAGGACATCCAGGCTTCACCCAGACTGGTGAGGACTTTGGGCCCCATCACGGGACCACTGGATCCCAGACTGCCTAGGGGATGGGAGACTGAAGATTTCTGTTGGTTTCTTCTCTCTCACCTGTCCCCGCTGCCTGATTCTGTGCTCCTCCTCAGCTACCATCCAACCAACTCTGAGGCCGACTGAACCACATTGCACCATCATGACAGGCCAAGACACCGTCTCAAGCTCTGCAAGCCAGACATGCCACCGCTGAACCTGTCTGGAGCTGCCCTGCCTGCACTGATTCTTGGGACAACCCCAGACAAAAAACCGCATTTCCCCAGCCTTTGCTGCCGCACCTTCCCTCCCCTCCTGTGCCAACCCCTTTGCCTAAAGAGCTGGAATAATCTCTGACCATGTTGACCTGAAATCCAGCAGCAAACGTTGCCTTTCTTTCCCTTCCCCAAAGGGGTGGACCCTTTAATATCACCAAAAATTCTGACCACCTTCTCAAGGACTGTAATAAACACTCCAGTCAGACTAGTCCCAATGCAGAGCCACTATCCTGTCACAGCTCAGAGAGCTCAGATTGTATTTTCCCTCTTTGCATTGAGTGAGTGTGATATTATTGACATGAACTGTGACCATATAGATCATTGTTGCAACCAAGGTCCTATAGTTGCACCAAATCTTGTACAAAGGAAGTCGAGTAAAATGTCTATAGAAAGATTGTAATTTGCTGGTTATGATTATGCTGTCTGTATGTGTGTATCATTTTTGTATTTGAAGTTATGAATATTGGCTATGTACTTGTATCTCAATGTGTCTGATACTAAGTAGCCTCAGTGAAGCATTTGGTCAGCTTCTTGAGAAAGGACTATTCTCAGTAAGTGCCCAATCAAGAGACACTTAACTGACAATGGACTTTGGGAGACGCCAATCCATATGTGAGCTTTCCTGAGAACATTCAAACTAACATGTAAACAATGGTGTCAGCCTGCAAAAAGCTGAATAATTCATGGGCATGTGACTTTCCCAGGTGGTTACAAACTCCATCTTGTAGCTGTGACTTTGCACAGAAGAACAAAGGGGTTTCCGCCCACAAGAGAGAGAATATAAAAGGCCCCAGAAGCCCCTCTATTTTGTCTTCAGCTGGCTCAAGAGATGGCCTCTCCACCCCAAAGAGATGCCTGAAAGAAACTGGGACAAAGGCCTGTAACTACGGGGGTGTAAGTGATTGCTGGACCCAGGCCATAAACCACAACGTTGGTCTGAAAAGGATTGGGTCCAGACTAGGAAGGAGTCTAGTCTGTGAAAGAAGTTTATTGGGACATCTCTGAGAGTGAGATTTACCTGTATTCAGTTTCCTACTGTATTAGGCTTAGACTTGCTTGTTTTGTTTTATTTTGCTTGGTAACTTACTTTGTTCCACTTGTCATTATGTGGAACCACTTAAATCCTACTTTTTATACTTAATAAAACCACTTTTGCTTATTAATTAACCCAGAGTAAGTAATTAATACCTGGGGGAGCAAACAGCTGTGCATATTTCTTTATCAGTGTTATAGAGGGCAGACAATTTATGAGTTTACCCTGTATAAGCTTTATACAGAGTAAAACAGATTCATTTGGGGGTTGGATCCCATTGGGATCTGGGTTTCTGGGTGCTGGAGACAGGAGCACTTGCTAAGCCGTTTTCAGTTAAATCTGCAGCTTTGGGGGCATGGGTCAGACCCTGGGTCTGTGTTGCAGCAGATTAGCATATCTGGCTCAACAAGGCAGGGTTCTGAAGGTCAAAACTAGCAGAGAAAACGGGCTCAGAGGTAGTCTCAGCACATCAGGTGACAGTCGCAAGGGGGTCTCTGTGATGGTACCAGCTTAACTCCCTGCCTAGGGAGCAAACTGATTGAGAGATCCCCCAAGCAACTGCCCTGAGATGTACTTGCAAGCCAGAACATTAGAAGGCAGTGACAAGCCAAGAACTCAATGTTAATAACAATAATACCTGGACTTTCTATGGTGCTTTTGTCAGTAGATCTCAAAGGAGTCAGTATAATCATCCTCATTTTACAGATGGGGAAACTGAGGCACAGAAAAATGACATGACCTGCCCAGGGTCACCCAGTAAGCCAGTGATAGAGCCAGGAATAAACCTCAGGCCTGCTGAGTCCCAATCCACTGCTCTATTCACTAGGCTACAGTGAATCTTTGCCAAGCCACTAGAACAGCATACAGTTAGGGCCGACCATGTTTTACTAGGTGCTAGGCTATTGGGCTGTTTTGACCCTGCTTTCATGGACCCTACAGAGTCAGTCACTTGGTCATGAGCTATGTGGTTTCTCCTTTTCGGACCTGCTCCCCTCTGTTTTGTGGGAAAAGGTTGGTTTGCAGCTAAGAGCACAGAGCAGGTGCCTATCACTTACGTTTCTAGCTCCCGGGGGATGCTGACCACCCCAAGGTCCTGGCAGGCTTTTTGCAGGATCACAGAGGGCTTTAGCTCCTGCAGCTGAACGTAGATGGTTTTTGCATTGTTAATGATGCTTGCAGCAGAGACACAAGGCAGCCGTGCTTGGCAGCTGAAAGGAGCTAGAGACATGACCATAAACACTGGGATGCTGGAGAGCAAGTTGTCCAGAAATTCCCATGAGGCAGGATCAATGAAGTGGGCTTCATCAATGACAAAAATGAGAATGTCTTTCTCCACTGCCTAAAAAGGCAAAGAATCGCCTGAATAAGGTGTTGCTTCAGTTACGTATATCTTGCCTTCAGGCCAGGGCCCGGCGTGTCATACCCACAGCCCCGTGACTGCTACTCCAACCTATGGAGTGGAAGAGCAGCTGCAGCTCCTTTGTGTTGGTTAAATAAGATACTGGGGTCTGCATACACATGGATCCATGGTCCCCCCATGGCCTGACCCCCGACTACCTCTAACATGACTTTCTGTGCTGACTAGGGAGGAGACAAGGTCCAGAGCTTTCCTCCCAGCCAGCTCACCCCACCTCATTCATGCACCTGTAAGAGGGCTGTGTCCACGCACACCAGGGGCAATATCACCCAAGATGATTACACTCTTTTGGAAAAGGGGGTTATTTATGTTTTTCCACTCTGGGGGTGTGGTCAGTGCATTTTGGGAGGAGATCCAAGCTTTGGGACAAAGCGTGAGCCGGTTTCATGGAGAATCCATCCCATCATCTGAATTTGAGAAGGGCCAGAAAGTGCACTCGGTGCTACAGAAAGACATAGTTCCTGCCCTCTAACTTTAGACATCACACAGTGAGCGCAGATAACAGGAACTAGGATTGAGGCACGATACAGAGGGTAAGGACACAAGGAAAATGGCTGGGGTACACCATATTCCCAGCCTGCTAGCCAACTGCTCATTAGCAGAATCTGCAAGTCCAGTGCAGTCTGGGGAATCATTTCTCTCTGTTTCACAATGAAGAGAGTGGTTCACCTTCTGTAGTATTTTCACAAGAAATAGTTCCATCTCCTTTGTCCTTGTTTCATTGTCCATTTTGGAAACCTCGGCAGAGGTGGGAAACTAGTCAGAAAAAAATGAGAGCAGTGAGCAGAAGAGGCAGCGTTCCTGTTCATAATATACACATTCATGGGAAAAGCCGTGATTGAAATGTCCAGCCTAGTGAGACACACACGTTCATCTCAGTGTCTATCCTTTTCACCCAGGGATTGCATCATCTGGGCATGCGTATGTGACTATACCAGGCCTCTGCTTCTAGATCCTCCATCTAAGTCCAGCTAAACAATTAAACTACCATCTGACAGCTCTTTGGTGACCTGTGTGAAATAAAATGTTGGTCTTAGTCCTGCTCTGGGTAGGAGGGTGCCTAAAGCAGAGGAACTATGGGTGAAATCCTGGCCCCACTGAAGTCAATGGGCATTGACTTCCCTTGTGATTCAGTTCACTCTGGTTGACTGACAGTGGACAGGCTAAGAACTGGAGGGGCTGTGATCGCTGAACTGCCCTCTCACCTAGAGAGGTGGTCCTTTCAGAGCAGAGGTGGGAAGTTGTGTGTTTACAGAAGGCTCACTCCACCATTGTGGGAATTCTGTGGATAAGGAAAAGGGTTTCGTTCTCCAGGGCTGCCGAGCCTGCACCTTTCACCCAGCTTCCATTTTTGAAGCCTCACCCTCCATGACACCTTTTTCCCCTTACGCCTCTTTTGAAATGATGTTTCCGTGCTGTGCAGTGACAGGCAGCAAAACCAAATCACTGAAGTGTGGAAAACAAGAAATGACCCCCCCCCATTTACTTTTATGGCAACTAGTGCAGATATCAGAGCGAATCTTTCCCTCCACATTCAACTTTTCTCCACTCCTGTTCCCCTTGAAAAGTCAAATGTAACTTCTCATTGGAGGGGTCCTCTTACCATAACTGACTAGCATCCACCCATTCCCTTAACTACTCTGTAAATCCCCTAAGCCCCCATCTGACCCCCCAACTCCCCAGGTGCTGCTTTCTAAGTCTTTCCTGGAATGAGTAAGAGCTTTTTCTTGCCACCTCACAAGTCTGGGTGGAATTGCTTCCCTTCCTCCTGTGTAGTTGCAGATGGTAGACATTCTGTGAATATCCTTTAGAAAGTATAGGAACAAAGTCCAGTGTGTGTGCACAAGCTAGGATTCAGGCTCACCAAACAGGTCAGCCTCATGACTGCAAGAAGGCCAATCCCAGAATAGGAGTGAGGAAGTGGGACAGGTGAAGTGGACGGCATCAGATCGACAGCATGATGCCACTAACTCTTCCATGCAGATTTAGGAACAAACATTTCTTCAGCCACACCCAGCACCCTATTTATCCCAATTATAATGACTGTGTTGAATTTCATGAGTATTCACACCTTTGATTCAGTGTGCAATTTCAGGGCAAGAACAAAAAATGCTGAGATGCCGAATTGGTGTGAAGCAAGGTAAATAACAGAACCCAGTTCCACAGACAGGCTTTTCCCCCAGAAGGTGAGGGCTTTCTCCATTACCTTAACAAGAAAGATGTTATTCAGGAGGCAATAGTAGGTCTGTTCTACCACACCTCGGAGTTTGCCTTGGAGGATGTGCTGTCTTGCATCGTAAGATTTACAGGCATCAATCCCCAGAAACATGGCCATGAGTGTCCGGATGGCAAAAAAATTCTGCTGCACATTTACCTTTGTCAGCTCCATAGCAACAACCCTGCATGGTTAAAATGAAGAGAAATTATAAGGAAGTTCTAATGGGGAGTAAGGAAGAGCCAGCACATTCTGAGAAAGAATTACAGAAACACAAACCTACCGCTTACCACATGGACATCTAGACACACAGAAAAAGCTTCCAAATGAAGGAGAAATAATGGAACCAGCGTTCTTCAGCCCTTTCTGATCGACCTCCAAGACAACTACAAGACATTTCAGCACCTGATTTTCCTTATGGATAAATGGCTGAGGATCAGCAGTGGATTTGAGCAATGTCTCCTGGTCTCTGTTTCCTCCATGGCTGGTGCAAAGCAACCTAACCGCAGAGCTCAGCCTCTCCATTTTTCGCTTTTGTTTGAGGGACAAAAGATTAACAGCCCTGAACTGATCTCCAACCACCTTTCCCAACCACACCCCTTTGAGTTTCTGACAGAGTCCAGACTGATCAGCCTGTTTATTGTCTTCTGGAGAGCACACCCTTGTCAAAAGCACCTGGCTGCTTTCAGTTCAGTTCCAGGCATCCCCTTGGACTCTAAAGTCATCCTGCATTGAAAGACATGCAACCATACATACCCATGAGCATCCATCCCATTAGAGCTGCTCTCATTGCCACATCACATGCATCCAAAAATGTCTTCTCTCAGTGAGGGGCCATCTCCCAGCCCCTCACTAATGACATTTTTAAAGTCTGTCCATTTCTCTTGGGGGGGAAAAACCCAGCACACGCATGAGCTTTCGTCCACAGTTTAAAAGTTGGATTAGCCCATGAAAAGCTAGTAACACTGTGTCCAGGTAGACAGAAAACATGGGCCAGAGTTGATCAACACCTTTTGAATTTTGAAATTTCAACATTTTTAATGTTGACATTTGAAAAGTAAAAAGGACTTTTTTTGTTAATATTGACAATTTTCATGGAAATCTTTCCCTAGCTTTCAACCAAGCACTAAGCTGTTCAAAATATTTCAAATTTTTTGAATTTTTAAATTAAAGGGGGGGAAAATGAGAGGAGAATTAATAAAACAAATTAGCAGAATGCCCCCCAATTTATTTTTTAGCAGCTCTATTGGATACACTGTCTTGCTAGACATGTTTCCTCTTTAGCATCAAATAGCACTGAAACATGAATCCGACTTGATCTGGGTCATGACAGCCTCAACCAAGGAGTCTCTCATAGGATGGATGGGAGAAATAGCCAGCAGTGTCTCTTTCTGATGCGTATTCATGCCCTGCTAGTTTTGAGGTTCCCAGAAACCAACTTTCCATATGCTGTCAGAAAACAGATGGACAGCTATGCCTTCTGATTCACGGGGGGTGGCTGGGTCAACAAATCAACTGGACAAGAAGCCACAGTTAATCAAAGAGCTGGTGAGGTTAATCCTTTGAACCACAAAAGGACCCATCCAACCACAAGTGAATCTCTCAGATTGCCTCATTTATTAAATGAAGAATTAGAGCAGTAGACAGACATTGATAGGTACAATTGGACCAATGGTTGTTTCACCTCCCCTGTGACTGTGCTGGCTATTCCTGTATGTGAAATAATAGCTGTACTAAAGGAGGAAGTTACTAAAAGCTCCTCTTCCCCATGCAGGGCTCATTTAAGCCATTAGAGGTCAGTTTGCAGCCAATTAGACACCGTCTCAGTCTGTGCCAGCCTCACAAAGCCTCCTACCATTGGCATTATTGCAATCTCTGTGGGAATGTTGCTGCTCAGGATCACCATGCAGGGGCAGAGGTGTGTGGGGCACAGGGGTCAGGTGTATCAAAGTGGGCCAGGTGTATCAAAGTGAAGTTAAAGGCACTTACCTGTGGCCAGCCTTCTGGCCTAAGTAGGCAATTTCAGCAAGTAACTGGCTTTTTCCATAGCCCATAAGGCCTTCATACATTATGATACGGCCTTCCGTAGACCCCACAAATCCTTTCAATAAAGTGTCATAGATTTCGAGCTCTTTTTCCCGACCTAAGAAACATTGAGTGACTGTAAGAAAGCAAAGACCAATGCACTTCCCTTTCCCTCTTTGCTTAGCAGTGGCAGCATGTCTCCATCCATATTGAAAATGCATCCATAAGTCACTGGTTCATTTCCACCTCTGCTGCAGGCCTTATCCATCCCTTTCTCCCCACTCATTTTGATAATTGCAGCTTCCCTCTGTAGCGTAGTCCCAAACCCGACTGTCCAGATTCCAGCGGCTTGCTGCTACCGTCCCCCGCAAACACACAAAGAAGTGTGACTACATTATCCCTATCCTCACACAACCCCTTGTTCATTCCAATACCTGGGGTCACTCTTCAGATTTGTTGCCAGCCTCCCTTACAGACCCTGAGCTACATTCACTGGAGCTGGCACAGGGAAGCGTAATTTACATCTCTCCTTACCAGCCTGCCAACTAGGAGATTCACCTCCAGGGAGGGCAGGTAGTAGTTGAGTGCATCAGCTCCTACAGGGCAACAGGATTAAAACTTAGAGACGAGGTGGGGCTCACCCAGTATTGGGGTGCTGGGATCTAGCATTTTGCTTTAACCCCATTTGTCAGTAAAGTGAAAAGCCCTTAAAATGAAAACAACAAGGAGTCTGGTGGCACCTTAAAGACTAACAGATTTATTTGAGCATAAGCTTTCCTGGGCAAAAACCACGATGCAGCTGAAGAAGTGGGGGTTTTACCCACGAAAGCTTACGCTCAAATAAATCTGTTAGTCTTTAAGGTGCCACCGGACTCCTTGTTGTTTTTGTGGGTACAGACTAACATGGCTACCCCCTGATCCTTAAAATGAAGTGGGCAGTTAACACCTCTGCTCGAAAACTTGTTTCTTCCACTAACAGGAACTAGTCCAATAAAAGCTATTCCCTCACCCACCTTGTCTATCCTGGGACCAACACAGCTACAACAACATGGCAAGCATGTATTCCATACTCTTGCCTGACCATGGACAGGTCCTGCACTCCTTAGCACCATATAAGGCCTGCAAGATCAGGCACCACAACTTCAGCGTAAAGGCCCCGTATCTTTAAGAGCATCCTGAGCACATCTCACAGCTTTACATTTCTGAATGATCCCAATGGTCAATTACTTAATATCCTCAAGTAAAAAGAAAAGGAGTACTTGTGGCACCTTAGAGACTAACCAATTCATTTGAGCATAAGCTTTCGTGAGCTACAGCTCACTTCATCGGATGCATACTGTGGAAAGTACAGAAGACTTTTTTTCTGTACTTTCCACAGTATGCATCCAATGAAGTGAGCTGTAGCTCACGAAAGCTTATGCTCAAATAAATTGGTTAGTCTCTAAGGTGCCACAAGTACTCCTTTTCTTTTTGCAAATACAGACTAACACGGCTGTTACTCTGAAACCTATCCTCCAGTAGTGGCTCCCCCTCAGACATTTCCCCCCACATCCATCTCTTCCCTGGGCATCATCTTCCCAGCAGCAACAACTGCTCCACAGGTTCCTAATGACAAACCAACCGGAATTCTGAAGAGCTCTGTCCACCTACCCAGTAAGGGGTAATACTCAGACCTCTCCTTGGTGAGATACGCTTTGCCAATCATTCTGCAAGGAGTAAGAGAAAGGAAAGCTGCAGTTAAAGAGCGAAAATACTCCTGGTCAGAATCTACATGAGTGGGGGCGCAGCTGGGCTGCCCACTCTCTCTGAATCCAAGCCCTGCTTCCAAGAAGGGTTTCATTATTCTTAAGCCTCCTGCACCCAGAAGCTCAAGTTGAGATGGGGTGAAGTAGTGTCATGGGGTTTCCCTTCGGAAGAGCGCTAAAGGAACATCAATAATTAAGGAGCCTAATGAGCCTGGTGTAATGGGAGAGTGGATTAAAATCCATCGGAGAGCTAAGAAGGAAACGAGGCACAGCAGCCTACGATTCCTCTGGTAAAGAGCAATACAATGCCCACCAGTCTGGTTTCCTGAGGCTCCTCAAGGATCTGAAGGTAACAAACAATTTTGTACTGCAAATGGGCGAGAGATGAGAGACAAGTAGGAATAGACAGAGTCAATGAAGCTTGCAGGGGAAAAGATAAGGAAAGCAAAAAAAAAAAAAGCAGAATGAGTTAATACTAGGCAAAGGCTGTAAGGAGAATAAGGAGGCTGTAAGGAGAATCTATAAACATGTCATGGGAAAAAGAAAGTAAAGCCATTAATAAGGAAGAATGTTGATGTAATCGGTGATTACTCTGAACTACTGCGCTGCTTTTTAAAATCTCTCTTTAGCAAGCTATACATTAACAACAGCCCGGCTCCTGCAAATTGCTTCCCACATACGGACTCCCACTGATTTTAATGGGGCTCCTTCCACAGAGAGGAACTTGTAAGAATGTAGCCTTGGATTTGGACAATGAGAGCAAGGCAGTTCTTATATAAACAGCTGTTGATGAAAGGAGGTATCAGGATATATGAAAAAACAAAACACATGCAAACTTGGTCTCTGAACTCAATAATTAGCTAGCTACACCACAGTTGCTATGAACTTGGATTTTTCTGTACTGCACCTTTAAATTTCTGCCAGCACAGCTGATGCAGCATGTTCCCAAGAAGGGACCCAAACTGTGCTCCCTCATGGAGACTTTACATTCGTTCTTTCTTAGTCTGTTGTGCCCCTTAATCTGAACTGAAAGTCATTTGGACTGAGACTACAGGGCTGTTCTAGGTGTATGGAGAAACACTGCATGCTTCTACATTTCCATGGTGCAGTTCTCTGTCTCCAAGTAGCTGGAGCTGATGAGGGAGTGGGAGAGAGATGCAAATGAGACACTATAGTTACCCATTCTCTCAAACATGAGGCTTGATTGAAGGTATGCCAGTTGAAGCTATTTTTACACTAAGCTATTTGCTGTCCAAGCAGCTGTTTGTCTCCTTGACTAAGTTGCCTTGAGTCTATCTTGTGTGGGGGGAAGTACAGGACTTTGGAGATGAAATTTCCTAAGACAGCTGTGAGATGATGCCCTGGATTTTGGCAAGGATGATGCACATTGTGGCTTTGAACAGACAGGATAGCACTCACACCCCTTTGTGCTGATCAAAGGTAATTTGCCCTTTCATCACCCCCACCCCACCGTGGTAAAATGAGGGTGTGACTCTGGAAGCCCCTCAATGCCAACTAGCAGAGGGCACCCCTACTGTAACTCACATCAGGTCTGACATACTCATTACCCCAACACACTGTTGTCATGATATATATCTCAAAGATGTCATGAAAGGTATTGTATATAACCTGGTGACATGCTGGTTCCAAAAATCACTGTGTGATGTATGTACAGGTTGGGTACAAAGTGTTATAGATGTGTGCTGGAAATATATTCATGAAAAGTGTTTGGGAAGTAGAGCGTAAAACCCAGTCTGTCCTAGGCAAAGGCATGCATATTTACCTGTCTTACCTGGGTTACCAGCAGAGGACAATGGAAGTATATTTACATATAAGGAAAATAAAGACATCAAGCTAAACAAGCGGGGGAGAAGACTGTGGACTTTGAGTAATATAAGGGGAACAAAAAGACCTTTTAGTTCTCTATCACTGAGGGGACAGTGGAGTCCAGCACCTTTTGACCTATGAAAGCTGGATTCTCTTGGCCGGAGAGGCAAGAGCTGATGGAAACATGATGTGAGAAACTGCTTAGGCAAAGACTGCAACTTGCTCAGATTGAGTTTTCATCATTAGAAAGTGTGTTTTGTTTGTGACCTTGCCTGTCTCTTTTGCCCTTGCTTAGTGTCACTTAAATCCAAGGGCTTTGTGCATAACCTTTTTCTTGTTTTATTACAAAACCGTCTCAGTTCTGTGTATTAAAGTGAAGTGTGAGGCCTCAGCTAACCTCACAGGCTGGTGTGTGCTCTGTCTCTTTGGAGGCAGTGAGCGTAACATGAGGGACTGGATGCTGCACGGAGACATCTCTGGGGAACTCGCAGCTGGGGCTTACTGATTGTTACCAGCAAGCCAAGGTTTAGACTGGCAGAGTCTTGAGGAGTTTGCTGGCAAGGCAGACAGGCTGCTGTGTCAGGGACCTGCCACAGAGCTTAGCAGTACCAAAGTTCTTGCTCTTGCTAAGGCAGAGTGGTAACAGTGGCTCACAGTTCTGAGTGTTCTGAGCTTGACGTCACAGGGGGCACTTACGTTTTCTCACTGATGCCAAGATAATGATAAACCACGCCGGGATTCACAACTCCTTTCATCTCAGTCTGGGGGAGCTCTTCGAAGAAGTAATGAGGCAGCCTGGAGTTGGCGTAGGTCACTGCATCACAGGACACTAACCCTGGATAATACATCATCATCCGGGCAGCAAGATTCACCTTCTGGCCAATGACTGTGTCGCGGAGAGAGCAAGAAAATGGGCACTGAAAAGTTAACTGAGTTCCCACCCACCGTCCTGTGGACAGCTCCATGCATACATACCCCTCCACCAGCAAAAATATGCAGCCTACACACACACTCCATGGGTACCCAGGGGATACCAAACATGCACACGACCAGAGAAACAGACTGTACCTGTGTATTCATGCCTTACACGATGGCCAACTACTCCACAGAACACTGGCCCGCTGGTTACTCCGATGGAAACTAGCCTAGCAAGCAATGAGAGCAACATGGAGTCGGCAATCCCAAATGTCCAGTCCCTCTTGACGCATCTGCTCACGCACCCTCTCCCCACCCGCACTCCTGTAGTGCTAATTTGTATTGACTATCCCCACATCAGCCAGCTAGGTCTCCGAACAGCCTGTGTGCAGCTCTGTGTGTGCGCAAAAGGGATGGAGAAGGATGCAAGGAGGTTCCCTCACGCACATCCCCATGTAATGACAGTTCTTGTGCTTCCCAGAGTGCAGAGTGCTATGAGCTACCATCGCTGTTGGAACTAGCCTCCCCAGAGAGATAGACCACAGCCCCACCTGCTCACCACCCCAGCTAGCAGAGCTGACCCCAGGCCAAAGGGAGCCCCTGTCCATCCTTTGCAAGGGTGCCACGGAGGCCGCATCCCTTAGGCAACTCCACAGGCACAATGTCTCTTTGACCTCCCCATGGGTTGTGAGTCCCTGTTCTCCCTGTAATGCAAAGCCACAATTGAGCCCTCATTTCCCCGTGTGGAGCTGGAGGTGAAGCCCTGCCTGAAAGTTCAAGGAAGTATTCACATTTTCTCAACACATTTATCTGCCCACAGTAGAAATCCTGCATCCTTAAAATGCTTCCATGGGTGAGGGAGTGGTGAGATGGGTGTAGAGTTTCAGCCCTCCCTCCTTGCATCATCCAGCTGTCCAGTCGGTTATACCACACCCATCACTATGGTATGTGTATGCTTCCCATATTTATAATGGGTGCACACAGCAGAAAACTGCTTAACTTTAATTGTCACTGGACACTGATCTCGCAGGGTACTCATGCCTGGAATTTAATTCTCTCACATGTGACTGGTTGAATTTCCCTGGCTCTTTATGGTTGGCATGCCCCTTAAAGGGAGTGGCTACTGAGCAAAGCACACACCCCTATTGGCTATCACGCACTGTTCCCAGCTGAATATAAATGCTGCCCTCTGAGTGTGCCAGTCTGAATTCTCCCTGCTGGAGAGTCAGGAGCTGGAGGGACGTCAGAAAAGGAGAGTCAGGTTACACAAAGACTCAAAGAGATCAGTGCCAGTGGTGTGAAAAGGGCGTGGGGTTTGGTCTGGTCTTGTCATTTATAGACACAAAAGGGGACAAAGGCTCTGGTCCCACAAACATGCAGGAATTTAATTTGAAGCCTCAGTGAAATCAGCAGTGCTTGCATGCCAAGGCACAGGCCTCAAAACTTCAGCAGCCAGACCAGAGCGTGCTGGAAGGTAGGAGGGGGTGAAGTGCTCTCTCCAAGCACTGCTGGAGTCCTGCCAGCGGACGGGCCTCGGGGTCCCCTTCAGTCAGGAGCTCCTCCACCAAATGCAGTCAGGAAGGGCTTGATGGGACCTTTGGAGGCCAGTGGGGTGGGGGGTGACAGTCAGTAGGGGTTTGGCTCATGCTCTGTCCTGTTACCAATGCTCTCAAGGAGCAAAATGCCTTTAGAGCTCAAAAATTTGCCATTCTCACACAAATGGAGCTGAGAATCCTGCACAGCTGGTGTCGGGTTAGTGAAAGACACATTGCTCTCTCTTTTCTGCAGGGCCTGAACTTGGGGATTGGAGTTTCTTGGGCTGTTGTGGGATGGGTCAGTGAAGGTGGTTGGCTTTGCAGTTCGCTCTTAAGGCTGCTGAGGTTCACGGTCATCCTGAGCAGGTTCCAGATTCATGGGCCAGTCGCTATAAAAGTTCCATCACCTGGACCCACCAGTACCACCCCTGCGGCTGCGGTTCTATTGCTCCAGTAGCATGTAGCTGCCTTAGGAGGTCAGGGTCACGTAGCGTGAGGGGGAGCCCAGGTAAACTGCGCTAATCCCAAATTTTGTCTCCCAGCTGTCATGTCACTGCCTTCTGCCCACTAGGGGGGCCTTCCTGTTGGGATGAGGGAGTTTAGATGGCAAACAAGCCCAATAGCACCCCTGTAGACAACGTGGAGAACTTCACCTTCCTGCTTACTTTATTTTCATGAGCTTCTCAGAACAGAAGTTGAAGATTTTAAATGCACTGTCCAAGGCGTGGGTGCTCTCGTCAGCCTGCTTATCCCCAGGGAGCCCGAACACACACAGGAACGTGCAGCCCTGCCAGGGAGGGGAAAGAAAACACCAGAGGGGGGAGGGTTTTTTCCAAAGAGCAAATCAGTAACAATGTCTGTAGCAAACAGTTCCACTGTGCTCCAGCTCTCCCACCCACCCTGTTAGAGTTGTGCTGTCACACACCACCCCCAAAATGCTCTGGGAGGCCCCACCACCACCCCAGACTCAGTCTCTTCAGCACTGAGCTTCTTATCATTCCTCCTGATGGCTGCCCTCCACCTCCCTTCTCTATCCCTAATGACAACACCACTGTCCTTCCTGCCTCCTACTAGTCCTGCACTCTCAAGGGAATGTTTGCCAGCTCCGGCTGCCTGGCTGGCATGGCCTTGAAGCTCTGACTCACTTTGTCAAACATAAAGACTTTGTTGATTTTGCCACTGAAGACGTGGATGGTGTCTGAGATCTTCATGTTGGCATTTTGGATAGCCTGGCACAGATGCAAGGTATTGGCGCTTTCATCAAACTGCAGGTTTACAAAGACAATTGTGACTGGCCGAAGCTCAGATAAATATTCCAGAGGTTGGTTGTCATCAATCTGAAAAAGAGCCGGATGTACTCAACAGTCCGTACTCCTGGTGAGCGGGAAGCATTCGCTACTCCATATACCCCTCCTCCAGCTGGGCTGACTCTACTCTCAGATACAGGTGCTAACTTCATGAGGGCAAAGATGTTAGATCAGCTATTGCCATAGGAAGGAGTGGGCCCCCATCAATGGGAAGCACTCTCCAGGCTCAGGAAGATGATCCTTTCAGCACAGGACTGGGAAATGAGGCTAGGCACCAAGGGGACAAAGGGGGAGATAGCTGAGCAGAGCCTGTCAATGTGACTTTGCTACAACCCAGGTCTCCCCATAAACTTTAAAATTTTAAACGGAACAAAGAAAAAGCTTTTTCATACACCTTACAATTAGCCTGTGGAACACATTGCCTGCAGTCAAGAACTCAGCAGATTTCAAAAAATGATGACAACGTCCAATGTTACAATAGTAAGGCTTTTTTTAAATAAAACCCAAGAGTTTTGGAAGGGATCTAAACCCTCATGTCTCAGGTCATAAGCCAAGGGAGCGGGGAGGAGAAAACTTTCCATGTGAACAAGTTGATCCACAACTACACACTGCAAGGTTTCTTGTATTTTCCTCTGTATCACAGAATCATAGAATATTAGGATTGGAAGAGACCTCAGGAGGCCATGTTGTCCAATCCCCTGCTCAAAGCAGGACCAACACCAACTAAATCATCCCAGCCAGGGCTTTGTCAAGCTGGGCCTTAAAAACCTCTAAGGATGGAGATTCCACCACCTCCTTAGGTAACCCATTCCAGTGCTTCACCACTCTCCTAGTGAAATAGTGTTTTCTAATATCCAACCTAGACCTCCCCCACTGCAGCGTGAGACCATTGCTTCTTGTTCTGTCATCTGCCACCACTGAGAACAGCCTAGATCCATCCTCTTTGGAACCCCCTTTCAGCTAGTTGAAGGCTGCTATCAAATCCCCCCCTCACTCTACTCTTCTGCAGACTAAATAACCCCAGTTCCCTCAGCTTCTCCTTGTAAATCATGTGCCCCAGCTCCCTAATCATTTTTGTTGCCCTTCGCTGGACTCTTCCCAACTAGACATCGAGCATCAGCAGAACCTCAGAAAAATTCTAGCTGTGTAAAGCACAGACCGTCACGCCAAAAAACAAAATTCTATGAAGTTACTGCACTACCTTCTTCAGAATGTTTCTCATCACAAACTTCCGGAGGGACTTCTCCAGCTCATCATTAGGAGACAATGTGGAGGTTTCTCTGAGGATACCTAGGGGAGGAAATTTAGTGCTTTAAATAGGAGAAGGAAGACTTGTGGTTAAAGCGTAAGGTTTTATTCCTGGCTTTGCTCAAGGGCAGACTTTTGCCAGTGAGGACTGGACAGTGCCTGGATGGGGCTGGAGATTCTTGTCTAACCTACTTCACTTACAATCTTGAAAATGCAAATCACAGTTGCATAGGTGCTGAGTTTCTAATCTGCCGGGGGGTGCTCCCCCCGGCTCCCTGCAGGCCCCGCCCCCACTTCACCCCTTCCCCCAAGGCCCCAGCCTTGCCCTGCTTCTTCCCACTCCTGCTCTGCCCCACCCCGCCTCTTCCCTGCCCCTTCCTGCTCCTTCCCTGCCTAGTTCTGCCCCTCCGCCGAGCACACTACACCCTTTCTCCTCCTCCCTCTCCCCCAGCACCTCCTGACACAGCAAAACAGCTGATCCGTGGTAGGCGCTGGGAGGGAGGGGGAGGCGCTGATCAGTGAGGCCCACGAGTGGGCAGAAGGCACTGGGGGGAGTGGGAGGTTCTGGTAGGGGGGCTGCTGGTCAGTGCGCAGTACCCACCATTTTTCCCCATGGGTACTCCAGCCCTGGTGCACCCACGGAGTTGGCACCTATGCACAGTTGGGGTTTTTTATTAGAAAATTCCTTGTGTGCTTATATCAGCACCACTGAAAGCTTGCTCGCCCAGAAAGACTGTAGGCACTGAGCAGGGGTCCCTATAGTATCTCTTCTTGCCAGCCAGGGGCCTCCATAGAGCTGACCCAGAAGGTAGGGAGAGGGTCTCTTCTCCTCCACAGTCAGTGTACCCCTTGCTGGTGTCCACACAGGTTGAAGCCAGCAGGGGGGAGAGGGAGTTGAAATTCAGCTGGCTGCCTCGGGATTTTAGTGGCAGGTAATGGAGGAGTACACAGGAACTCAAAGGGGTACAGGGCAGGGGCCCACATGTGCAGTCCATTCACCCTCTCACATTTACACTGACGGAAAACAGGAATTTCAGCCTGCTGTCTCCCTGGGGTTCAGCGCAGTAGAAGGAAGAGGGACTCACTGTTACTTTCACCAGTGGGGTAGTTCTGTAGGTATTCAGTACATTTCCAGAAGAACTCGTCAAACTCAGTCTCAGAGATGTTCTTTATGTATCTAGCCTGAAGGCAGACAGAATTAAAGGCATCTGTCCGCTTCCCCAAGCCTAGTGTAGAATTATTCAATAAAATGCACTCCCATCCTTCACTGTCACCTCCATCATCAACCTCCCTGTCAACTGGATGGAGGACACAGCAGTAATCAGCAAAGATTTTTTGGCTGGAGCAAAACAAATGACTACGCTCCCAACAAATGCAGCAAAGTGATTCTGCAGCCTCCAAAGCTGGCTGCAGAGCCTTCCAGTTCCACAGTCTTTCTCCTGCTGGGTATCTGTCCAAGCCACCAATCCTGCAAAGGCTTACATACGTGCTTAACTTTAAGCACCTGATTGGCCCCAATGATTTCAACGGGTTTACTCCTATGCAGGTGCAGGAATGAAGCCCAGTTTCTTCTCATGACGTCTGTCGCTGAACTATCTCAGTGCCTCCAGAAAGATACTAACTAAAATCACAATAGGCCCACAGTCTGATTCTCCTCCCCAGCCTCACAGCTGCTCTCCAAGAACCAGTGCAAGGCGTAAGAGGGGGATGCTCAAAATAACTGGTGGGCTGCAGGTAGCAATGCTCCCACTTCCACTCCTTGGCAGGTTGGTCGTATTTTCAGAGTTCAAAGTGGGGACACCGGCGTTGGTGAGGGGGATGGGTCAGGGGAACTGTGTTATCCTGTCAGGATGAGTACTTTGGGCCTTTTACAGGAAAAGGTAAGGAAAGTGAGAACAGTATTTACCCCTCTGTGACCCCTTTCTTGTTCTGTCCTAGCTCTAATGTCTCCCATTCCAACCTAGCTGTACCCTACCACACCCCGACCGCCCCCTCCACAGTCACTGATCCACCTACACCCTCAGTCACAAACCAACTCCATCAACCTTCCCCCCAAACTCTTCCCTCAGCTCCCCACCTGCTGAGAAACACGCCCCACAAACACACCTTTTCACCCAGGCTGAGATCCTCCCTCTTCCTAACAGGCCTCCACAGCTCAGGCCCACACCCTCAGCTCTGAGCCCTGGCCACCAGATAGCCCCAGGCTCAGAATGCCCTCACACACTCCTCCAGCTCTAGCGAATCCATTCCCAGGCTGCGAATCCATTCCCAGGCTCCAAAATCTTCCCCCTCCTACCTGACACCCACCACCACCAATCTCAGATGCCCCCCAGGTCGGAACCCTGCCCCCTGCTGAGAAAGCTCTGGTATTCACTGCTCTGCACCTCCTCCCTCTGCCATTTGCATCCCTTCTCTTGCAGAGTCTCTTGCAGGGGCTGGAGGCTGCAGGGAGCATGGATAAAGAGCCCCAAATTCTGGCTTTGTGGCTCTGTCCTCTGCAGTACAACACCTACACTACCCAGGTCTGAGATCACTGGTGGGGCTTGTTGGATCATATTAAAGAAGTTCTGTATTAAAATCACAAATGAGTTTGATTCCCCATAGTTTAAATTCCAGGGTATTACTAATTAAGAGATCTCTTGGTTTTTGGTACTGTTTCTCTCCCTCTGTGTGTGGAACTTGCAAGCAGCTAATTGCGTTAGTACATTCTAAGACAGAGTCTGTTCTCAAAGCAATTCACAGAGAGAGAGATTCAAAGCAATACTCTGTAACAACAGAAACAGCACCCAGAGACTCCCCCCCCTTTTGTTGTATTAACAATTGTGATTAAAATAGAGCTAGAGGATGTATGTGGATGGATGCTTGGTGTGGATAATAACTGAATGATCAGTTTCAGATAACTGAATGATCAGATTCTTAGGGAGGTGCCAGCCTAAGAATCCAATGTCCATCGGCTGAAGAAGGCATCAAGTGGAAATAACCAGAGGACACCCCCCTCCCCCGCCCCGGAGGGCAGACTGGAATCCACCTAACAGCCTCAAGAATGGAAGAACCAAAGAACAAGATAACATCTAGCAGCACGGAGCCGTCAGGAATGTGCTATCTGCTGATTGATTCAGCAACAGCATGATGAAGCAATTCCCATAGACTGCCATAGGAAGAAATTCCTATGAAAATAGATTCTAAAAAGTGAGAACTTTGGGGGGTCTGATTCTGCAAACCAACTTCCAGGAGCATCAGATGAGCATCTGACAAGGCCCTGCTCCCTCCTCATGTCCAGGCCACCTGGCCAGTGGCTTGGCATGAGCAACCCTAAGGCTGGTAACTATGATAACAACCTTGCAGAACCTCTGTGTGTGTGTGTGTGTGTTTGTATGAATGAATAAATATGAGATTGAATGGAATGTTATAACTATAACTAACTGCTTACTATGATTCTTTCTGTATTCACAATAAATGTGGTATTTTGCCTTTTCCCCTTTAATAAGATCCTGCTGGTTTTTATTTTATTGGTATAACATTTTGGTGGAGAATTGCGAAAGGGGGAATATTGGTAAAAAACCTCAGTTATTGTAAATATTGGTGTGCACACAGCCAGCTCTATTGAGCTAGGCATTTCTATTAGATTAAACCAGACCTGCTGGCCTCCGGGAAGGTAGCAGGGGACCTGCTGGCCTCCGAGAAGGTAGCAGGGAAAACAGATTAAACTAGACCTGCTGGCCTCCGGGAAGGTAGCAGGGGACCTGCTGGCCTCCGAGAAGGTAGCAGGGAAAACAGATTAAACCAGACTTGCTGGCCTCCAGGAAGGTAGCAGGGGACCTGCTGGCCTCCGAGAAAGTAGCAGGGAAAACAGATTAAACCAGACCTGCTGGCCTCCGGGAAGGTAGCTGGGGACCTGCTGGCCTCCGAGAAGGTAGCAGGGAAGAACAGGTTAACCGGACCTGCTGGCCTCCGGGAAGGTAGCAGGGAGAAATAGGTTAACCGGACCTGCTGGCCTCCAGGAAGGTAGCAGGGGACCTGCTGGCCTCCGAGAAGGTAGCAGTGGGAAATAGTTTAACCGGACCTGCTGGCGTCCGGGAAGGTAGCAGGGGACCTGCTGGCCTCTGAGAAGGTAGCAGGGGAAAAACGCATAGATTAAGCTATGATTTCAGAATCTAGGCTGTGTCACTTGCTAAGTAATACCAGCAGTGACAAAGAGATTGAAATATCCATGTTAAGATGTTTAAAAGAAAACAGGGTAAGCCAGTACCAGAGGGAGGAATGGAGTCAGAAGGAACTCCAACCTCACCTTTTATTAAAGAAATTATACCTTTTAAACAAATCCTTCAAAAATTTGGGCACAGTCCTTGGACTAAACAAGCCCTAGCTGATGTCTGCACTATTTCGGACCTGGAGGATAGATTGGCTCAGTATATCCTCATATACAAACCTTCTAGTGCTGCCAAAAGAGATGCAGCAGCAATTTGGTTGTTGTGGGAGGCATGTAAGGATTCTTCCCTCTGCTTGTCTTCATAAAAGGAGGAAAAGGCACAAATGGAAAAGGGAGCCACAATAAGTTGGGTTTTCTTTTTTTAGATTGCTGTGTGTTTTGGAAGCAGAAGTTTAAAAAGTGACCAAAACTCTGGTGAAAGTTGATTGTGTCCCCTTTAAGATAGTCTCAGGAAGTGTCTGTGAAAATGCAAATTATCTAAATGATAAAGGAAGGAAAGAACTAGCAGCACAAAGGAGCTGCAGATAAAGGACACACCTGGTCAGCAAACAAATTGTCTAAATAAAAGGCATGGGATAACAAGATAATTTTAATAAATTTAATGATAATAAGTATCCCTGTAACAATGTATAGTGTGTATGATTTTTGGAAAAACCCTTTAAGGTCGTATGGTAATGATGCTTCACGGTTATTACCTGTAAATAAAACTTAAAGCTTAACACAGCAGGAAAAACATTATAAACTTGGTCTGCTGTATAAGAAGGAAAACTCAGGGATTTAATGACTAAACAGTGGGATAATTTCCCCATAACCCTTAAAAGATAAAAGCCATTGAAACCTGGCCTGCCTATAGAACAATAACAGGAAAATGTGGGGGCAATTCCTCTGTTTTGCCTTCAATCAGCAAGGGTATTTGTAAAAGAAATATTTTAAGCAATAATCTGCCACCCCAAAAGGGGTAGAAACATGTTCTTTTTGTCTTTCAGAAAATCAGGAAAAGCTGATGCCAGCTGAAGAGCAACCCAATACCATGAATCTACTGTCACAATAGAAATTGTGTTTTGTGTTCTATGTTTTGTCTTCTGTTATGTCTTGTTGCTAACACTGTTGTGTGTTTAAAAAAAAAAATACTAAACACCTGCAGGTAATTAAAAATAAATTAAGCTGTCCCAGCTACAGGACAGCCTGATACAAAAACAAGTACATGCCAATATAGACTTGGTCCAAATTGGTCTGGGTAACCTAAAAGGCCAATGGAATCTTTGGTAATGGCTTAATACTACCATATGGCTTATGCATAAGAAAAAAATTTAGAAATAGGAAACTACACAGCCATAGCTATGGGATGCACTGAAATGCAGATACTTGCACTAGCTACTTTGGAACACAAAATGTTCTGGGTCATATTGGGAAATATTAAGGGTTTGAGGCACTTGTTAAAACAAAGAAAGAGATCATTGTTTGACACTTATCAATATGAATGGATGCAATACATTTCCAGTATTGTAAAACCAGACTTGTTAATGGGAGAAATTGTTGTCAAAATTGCACACCAACAGTCCCTGGAGGCAAAGGTATTGAAGGTTAACCCACTCCCCATATTACACATGGGATCCTTCTGGCTACCCTGGACCTCAAGCCAGTGGGCTGGGGAGGGAGGGAAGCTATTGGACACTAGAGGTTGTACCGAATGGACTCCTCAAAAGTGGGTGTGCCTCACCTTGCCTCTTGCCCCAGAACCTTGTAGTAAAGATACATCACTAGGATCATGTATGTGGCATGAATTGGAATCACAAACTCAAATTGCCTCACAGTACCTTCTCTTGAATAGGCTACATAGAAAGTGACACTGACTATTATAAATCTTAGCGTCAAAAGGGGGATTATGTTGGATCATATTAAAGAAGTTCTGTATTAAAATCACAAATGAGTTTGATTCCCCACAGTTTAAATTCCAGGGTATTACTAATTAAGAAATCTCTTGGGTTTTGGTACTGTTTCTCTCCCTCTGTGTGTGGAACTTGCAAGCAGCTAATTGCGTTAGTACATTCTAAGACAGAGTCTGTTCTCAAAGCAATTCACACAGAGAGAGACTCAAAGCAATACTCTGTAACAACAGAAACAACACCCAGAGACTCCCCGCCCTTTTGTTGTATTAACAATTGTGATTAAAATAGAGCTAGAGGATGTATGTGGATGGATGCTTGGTGTGGATAATAACTGAATGATCAGGGAGGTGCCAGCCTAAGAATCCAGTGTCCATCGGCTGAAGAAGGCGTCAAGTGGAAATAACCAGAGGACCCCCGCCCCGGAGGGCAGACTGGAATCCACCTAACAGCCTCAAGAATGGGAGAACCAAAGAACAAGATAACATCTAGCAGCATGGAGCCATCAGGAATGTGCTATCTGCTGATTGATTCAGCAACAGCATGATGAGCAATTCCCACAGACTGGCATAGGAAGAAATTCCTATAAAAATAGACTCTAAAAAGTGAGAACTTTGCGGGGTCTGATTCTGCAAACCAACTTCCAGGAGCATCAGATGAGCATCTGACAAGGCCCTGCTCCCTCCTCATTTCCAGGCCACCTGGCCAGTGGCTTGGCATGAGCAACTCTAAGGCTGGTAACTATGATAACAACCTTGCAGAACCTCTGTGTGTGTGTGTGTGTCTGTTTGTATGAATGAATGTGTGAATAAATATGAGATTGAATAGAATGTTATAACTATAACTAACTACTTACTATAATTCTTTCTGTATTCACAATAAATGTGGTATTTTGCCTTTTTCCCTTTAATAAGATCCTGCTGGTTTTTATTTTATTGGTATAACAGGCTTACCCCCCTTATTCCCTAATGACCAGCCACTCCTGGCAAGAGGAAGCCAAAATTAAGCCCATGTTTCCAGGGAACAAGATATTTCCCACATTCTACTATGCCTTCTTACTTCATCACCACTTTCAACTTTCGCATCACCATCCCTCTCGCCCCGCTCTGCCCAGCTGGTCCATTGGATAGAGGCCCAATAACAAATATACACACAAGCATACGTGTGAGATTGCATCCAGCAGAAGACAATAAGGCACGTAAACATACCCCAACCTAGATAACAAGGCAATATGAACTCCACTGGTTATGAACCATTGTTGCACACTCCACATTGCCTACCTTAACAGCTCTTTGATCTTTAATTCTTTCTATTTCTATCATGCTCCTGTTACAGAGTTCCCAGCAGTTCGGCGATAGAATAACCTCACTTGCTTTTGCTAGGTTTTGGGCCAACCGAACTTCATCCACTGCTCGGCCAATTACCAGAAAATATTGGTGCTTATTGTCTCCCACAACAACTTTGGAGATGTGACCTGCAGATAGCCCTGAGAAGAGAAACAGGATTGTTATGGAGCGCATATTTACTTTACCATTTGTAATATATGTATCTCATTTATCTTGGAAGCGGATTTTGGAGGCCAACCTATTTCTTTTGAGGTGGGAGGTTTGGATCAGTTCTTGACAATATGTGATATTTATTCTAGGAATCTGAGGATTTCTAGAACAACACTCTCCAATGAATTAAACAGCACGTCAGTTAATAAATAATAATAATAATGCACACATAATTATAAGGGTCACACAGTAGCATCTGTTATAAGGCTGCAAATCGGTTTCCGTTATAACAATCTGTTTATAGCTGAAGAAGAAAGCAGTGTGTTATAATAACATTTAACATTCCTGTGGTGGGAAGAACACCTCAATAGCCCAACACTGTGGCATTTAATTTCAGAAAGGGGAACTATACGAAAATGAGGAGGTTATTTAAACAGAAATTAAAAGGTACAGTGACTAGAGTGAAATCCCTGCAAGCTGCATGGACACTTTTCAAAGACACCATAATAGAGGCTCAACTTAAATGTATACCCCAAATTAAAAAACACAGTAAAAGAAGTAAAAAAGAGCCACCGTGGCTTAACAACCATGTAAAAGAAGAAGTGAGAGATAAAAAGGCATCTTTTAAAAAGTGGAAGTCAAATCCTAGTGAGGTAAATAGAAAGGAGCATAAACACTGCCAAATTAAGTGTAAAAATGTAATAAGAAAAGCCAAAAAGGAGTTTGAAGAACAGCTAGCCAAAAACTCAAAAGGTAATACCAAAATGTTTTTTAAGTACATCAGAAGCAGGAAGCCTGCTAAACAACCAGTGGGGCCCCTGGACGATCGAGATACAAAAGGAGCACTTAAAGTCATTGCAGAGAAACTAAATGAATTCTTTGCTTCAGTCTTCACAGCTGAGGATGTTAGGGAGATTCCCAAACCTGAGCCATCTTTTGTAGGTGACAAATCTGAGGAATTGTCACAGATTGAAGTGTCACTACAGGAGGTTTTGGAATTAATTGAGAAATTTAGCAGTAACAAGTCACCGGGACCAGATGGCATTTACCCAAGAGTTCTGAAAGAACTCAAATGTGAAATTGTGGAACTATTAACTATGGCTTGTAACCTGTCCTTTAAATCAGCTACTGTACCCAATGACTGGAAGATAAGTAATGTAATGCCAATATTTAAAAAGGGCTCTGGAGGTGATCCTGGCAATTACAGACCGGTAAGTCTAACGTCAGTATTGGGCAAATTAGTTGAAACAATAGTAAAGAATAAAATTGTCAGACACATAGAAGAACATAAATTGTTGGGCAAAAGTCAACATGGTTTCTGTAAAGGAAAATCATTTCGTACTAATCTATTAGAGTTCTTTGAAGGGGTCAACAAACATGTGGACAAGGGGGATCCAGTGGACATAGTGTACTTAGATTTCCAGAAAGTCTTTGACAAGGTCCCTCACCAAAGGCTCTTATGTAAATTAAGTTGTCATGTGATAAGAGGGAAGATCCTTTCATGGATTGAGAACTGGTTAAAAGACAGGGAACAAAGGGTAGGAATAAATGGTAACTTTTCAGAATGGAGAGGGGTAACTAGTGTTGTTCCTCAAGGGTCAGTCCTAGGACCGATCCTATTCAACTTATTCATAAATGATCTGGAGAAAGGGGTAAACAGTGAGGTGGCAAAGTTGGCAGATGATACTAAACTGCTCAAGATAAAAGAAAAGGAATACTTGTGGCACCTTAGAGACTAACGAATTTATTTGAGCATAAGCTTTCGTGAGCTACAGCTCACTTCATCGGATGCATAAAAGTGGAAAATGCAGTGAGGATGTTTTTATACACACAGACCCTGATAAAATGGGTGTTTATCACTTCAAAAGGTTTTCTCCCCCCACCCCACTCTCCTGCTGGTAATAACTTATCTAAAGTGATCACTCTCCTTACAATGTGTACATCATACACATCACACATTGTAAGGAGAGTGATTACCTGGAGCTTGGTACTTAGCATGTAGCACAGGGGTGGGCAAACTTTTTGGCCGTAGGGCCATATCAGGCTGCAAAACTGTATGGAGGGCTTGGTGGGGAAGGCTGTGCCCCCCAAACAACCTGGCCCCCGCCCCCATTCGCCCCTCCCACTTCCCACCTCCTGACTGTCCCCCTCAGAACCCCCGACCCATCCCACCTCCCCTGCTCCTTGTCCCCTAACTGCCCCCTCCTGGGACCCCCCCCGCCCCAAACCCCCCCCAGGATCCCACCCCCTATCCAATCTCCCCTGCTCCCTATCCCCTGACTTCCCCCACCTATCCACACCCCTGCCCCCTGACAGGCCCCCTGGGACTCCCATGCCCTATACAACCCTCGCTGTTCCCCGGCCCTTGACCACCCCAGAACCTCCACCCCATCCAACCACCCTCTCCCCGACTTCCCCCTGGGACCTCCCAGCCCTAACCTCCCCCTTCTCCCTGTCCCCTGACTGCCCCCCGGGACCCACTACCCAACCCTGTCACTGCTGCACACACTGCTGCCACTCCCTTACCACGCCGCTCAGAGCAGCAGGAGCTTGCAGCCCCACTGCCCGTGCAGCGGCATGGTTGTGTGGGAGGAGAAGCAGCGGGGAAGGGGTTGGGGGCAAGCCTCCTGAGCCAGGAGCTCAGGGGCTGGGCAGGATGCTCCCACAGGCCGGATGTGGCCTGCGGGCCATAGTTTGCCCACCTCTGATGTAGGAAGTGCCCACTGAGGAATACATTCATGAACAAGTTTGAGAAACATTGGCTGGATAGCAATAAAGTGATATGCAATTCAATAATCCCTTCTGAACCTGCTCAGTGCAGCATCTACTAAGACTTTGAGTAGAACTCAGTAAAAAGCACTCTCTCATTTGGGATATCACTGCACATTCTGTCTGTGCGGTCTAACCAGGAGGCCAGCAAGCAGAAGGGTTTTGCTCTCAGTCTGCTGCTGCTGGGAGTTTGCATGAAGGGAGCTTGTAAATGTCTACTTGAAAACACAAACAGAAAAAACATCCAGATGCAATCTAAAACTCCCCAGCTTAATATAAGGAAATGGCAAAAGAGCAAGTTCCTGAAGATCCCAAACTTAAGTGGCTTTACATTCTGTTGCCCAAACAGACAGTTGTGTGAACAGAGGTACTGTGAAGGCACTTCCCACAACCCTAATGGCCAGCAACTTCCTGTTGGTTTCCATGGATGTGAAATACTCAGAAGTAGAGCTGGTAAAAAAAAGGGGGTACTCTTTCCACTGACAATTTCAATACAAACAAAAAAGAAATAATTTTTGTCTAAATTTTCCATAAAAATTTTTGATTTTCAGCAGAAATTCAAATGCTGAAATACTTTGGCTGAAAACAAAACAAAAAAATTGACTTGGAAATACTCCCACTTTATTTATGGGAGTTGTAGTTCTGATGCCTCAATCTCCCATTATCCTTTATATGTTGGGCTCTCTAGTTTGACTACATCACCCAGGATGCTTCTTAATGTCCCCTCTTAGTGAGGGGAATTGGTTAATAATCAGAGTCTTTGTTTGTGGTGTACAATGGGAGATGTAATCCAGCTGGGGAGGACATTAGATGACCAAAATACAATTCCCATGAGCACTGTTCCCTCTAAGCTATGCGCATGCGTGTGTGCACACAGATCCTAAACCCCATGCACATGGTGAAACACCGCACACACAAAAATTAGCATAGAAGCACAACAATTTGCACAGAAGAAATTTTTTGCGCACATGGCCTGTCAAAAATTAGAGGGAACATTGCCCATGAGACACTGTGGCAGGATTTCTAAATCAAAATATTTCAGTTTTCAGCTGTTTGGGGGTTTTTCAATGGAAAATTGAAATATTTCATGGAAAACAGACACTCTTCATAACAAAAATTGTTTAGTAGAAAACCCAATTTTCCATTGAAAAACAGTTTTGATGGAATTTTGTCCACGAGTGCTAGTCAGAAGCTCCTCAGAGACAGTCATAACTCTGTAAAAATAAACTAGGTACACTTAGCACCAATGAAAGGTGCCAGACTGGCAACAATAAATAAATTGAAGCTGTTTATTCACATAATAGATGCAGAATGGCCAGCTGTAGGACCAACTACCCCAAACTGCCTCCCTAAGGTACTTTAGCAGTTTGATCCTCGAGGCCCATTCAATCCTTGGCTTCTCCGATGAAACTGTTTCTGAATGTAAGGATGGTTTATGTGTCACAGATACCTGTCTGCTAGGAACTCAAATGAGACCTGCAATGCATTTCACATGAGCCACTAGGCAATCAGATAGGAATGAGTCTCGGTCACCACTTCCACAGGCTGAATTTGAACCAGCAACTTAGAGATGAAATGCTCTTTATTCCAGTCCCCAAAAGACGCTTCTCTCTGACCAGAAATACATTTTCCCTACCACAGAAGCAGCCTTCCCATGCAGCTGCTGAAAAGGATGCAACTGATCAAAGCACCAAGCAATTCATGTCTTCTACAGATTCCTGGCCCTCTAGAAATGGAACAAGATTTGGGCATGGTGTTTCTCAGAGACGTATCTCGGGAGCACGAGAAGTGAGTGGGGGCTCATGTGACTCAGGAAGCAGAACTGCCTACTGGTTAGGGCAGGCAACTGGGAGTGAGGAGTCCTGAACGCTCATCCCATCTCCACCACCAACTCACTGTGTGACCTGAGACAAGATATTTCATCTCCATTTGCCTCTGTTCCCTCCCCTGCACAATGGGGTGAATGCTTCCTATTCACTTTCGTAAAGTGCTTTGAGAATGTGCTCTCTAGTTACTGCAAAGTATTGTTATTCCACTAGTAGCCATGGTACCTATCTTCACTCGGAGCTCCAGACCCACTTCAGTCTCACGAACCCCATACTCTTCCTGGATCCTCAGGCTACATTTCAGCGCCAGGGTAACGATATCGCTCAGCTGGCTTCGTTGCACTTGCCACAGTGCTAGCAGTGCGTCCCCTGGGGAAGGCAGTGTGACAGAGACTTATGGGACACATGCTCTTCTTGTTTCGAAAGTGCTGACAAAGCCACAGCAGATCCACCTGTACCAGCCCAGCACTCTGACCCACAGAAAGATTGCTCACTAACCACCCCAAACTCCTTAGCAGCTGCTGGCTGTGAACAGACCAACCCCTCTATGCTTCTAGCACAGGGGTAGGCAACCTATGGCACACATGCCAAAGGCGGCATGCAAGCTGATTTTCAGTGGCATTCACACTGCCCGGGTCCTGGCCACTGGTCCCAGGGGCTCCGCTGCCAGCCTGGGGTACCGTCCGCTGGCCCCTTGCCTGCCGGGGTTCTGCTGGCCCCGCTCAGCCCGCTGCTAGCCCCGGGTCCCAGTCACTGGTCCCAGGGGCTCCGCTGCTGGCCTGGGGTACCGGCCACCAGCCCACTGCCAGCTGGGGTTTTGTCCACTGGCCCCCTCGGCCCACTGCTGGACTCAGGTCCCGACCACTGGTCCGGGGGGTCTCTGCTGCTGGCCTGGGGTTCTTCTGTCCATCGGCCCCGCTCAGCCCGCTGCCAGACTCAGGTCCCGACCACCAGTCTGGGGGGCTCAGCTGCCAACCTGGGGTCCCAGCCGCCAGCCCGGGGCTCTGCTGCCACCCTCAGCTGTGGCCCTCTGGCCCCAGGCTGGGGCAGTGAGGGGTGTAGACTGGGCCAAGAGGGGGCGCAGCTCAGCATGGATCGCATGGATTATTATTACTAGCACGTGAAACCTTAAATTAGAGTGAATAAATGAAGACTCAGCACACCACTTCTGAAAGGTTGCCGACCCCTGTTCTAGCAGCTGTCGGTTGTGACTACCTCTTCCCACCCAGTAATCCCTGCAGCTGCTTTTTACAAGTGAACTCTCCTTCCTGGTGATCCCTTATAGATACTGACTGCAAGTGTTCCTTCCCCGTCAGTGACCCCATGCAGTGGCTTGCTGCATGTTCCCCTCCCCTCTCCCACACACACAAACCTGTGTCCGCTAGCTCAGGTACACCTAAGGCATTGCACCTCCTATTGTCCTTGGGCAACTGCTAGCACAGTCATTCAGGCCCAGATCCCCAAAGGTATTTAGTATCAGAGGGGTAGCCATGTTAGTGTGTATCCACAAAAACAACGAGGAGTCCGGTGGCACCTTAAAGACTAACAGATTTATTTGGGCATAAGCTTTCAGGATAAAAAAACCCCTTCTTCAGATGCATGGACTGAAGAAGTGTATCCATGCACCTGAAGAAGTGGGGTTTTTTGCCCACAAAAGCTTATGCCCAAATAAAGGTATTTACGTGCCTAACTCCCATCTGATCTCAGTTCTAAAGGAAGTGCCAGCCAGGGTTTCTCAATCAGACACAGAGGAAGGGGAATCGGGGTTGTTTCTAACTGAAAGATATAGTGTAAATTCTTGCTTCTTCCAAATCATGGATCAATCCTGTGGGAATAGGAGCCAGAGGGATGGGTACAATAGAACAAGGAAAGGGAGTCGGCTAGTATGAGTGCCTTCACTGTCCAGAGCCTCACAAGTTAAATGACAACGGGAAAATAGGCCGCTCTACCCCACCCCAGTGCTTCCTCCTTAGATATCACAAGCTAATAAATACCTGCAAAGTTCAAGATATCGCCTCCGTAAATCAGCACCTCTGCAGCAAGAGAAAAGGCAAGAGAAGTTGCACACAGCTCTTGTCAAAGAAAATCACGGAACAAATTGTTCTGTCGATCGGGGGAGGGGTGTGTGTGTGTGTGTGTGTGTGTGTGTTTGTGCGTGTCATAAATATAAAGGGAAGGGTAAATATCTTACAGGGTAATCAGATTCAAAACATAGAGAATCCCTCTAGGCAAAACCTTAAGTTACAAAAAGACACAAAAACAGGAATCTACATTCCATTCAGCACAGCTTATTTTATCAGCCATTTAAACAAAACAGAATCTAACGCATATCTAGCTACATTACTTACTAAGTTCTAAGACTCCATTCCTTTTCTGTTCCAGGCAAAAGCATCACACAGACAGAGAGAACCTTTGTTTCTCCCCCCTCCAGCTTTGAAAGTATCTTGTCTCCTCATTGGTCATTTTGGTCAGGTGCCAGCGAGATTATCCTAACTTCTTAACTCTTTACAGGTGAAAGGGTTTTTTCTCTGGCCAGGAGGGATTTTAAAGGTGTTTACCCTTCCCTTTATATTTATGACAGGAGAAACAAAGGTTCTCTCTATCTGTGTGATGCTTTTGCCGAGAACAGAAAAGGAATGGAGACTTAGAACTTAGTAAGTAATCTAGCTAGATATGCATTAGATTCTGTTTTGTTTAAATGGCTGATAAAATAAACTGTGCTGAATGGACTGTAGATTCCTGTTTTTGTGTCTTTTTGTAACTTAAGGTTTTGCCTAGAAGGATTCTCTATGTTTTGATTCTGATTACCCTGTAAGGTATTTACACATCACCATCCTGATTTTACAGAGGTGATTCTTTTACTTTTTCTTCCATTAAAATTCTTCTGTTAAGAACCTGATTGCTTTTTCATTGTTCTTAAGATCCAAGGGTTTGAGTCTGTGTTCACCTATGCAAATTGGTGAGGATTTTTATCAAGCCTTCCCCAGGAAAGGGGGTGTAGGGTTTGGGGAGGATTTTGGGGAGAAAGACGTTTCCAAGCGGGCTCTTTCCCTGTTATATATTTGTTAGACGTTTGGTGGTGGCAATAAAGTCCAAGGGCAAAAGGTAAAATAGTTTGTACCTTGGGGAAGTTTTAATCTAAGCTGGTAAAAATAAGCTTAGGGGGTTTTCATGCAGGTCCCCACATCTGTACCCTAGAGTTCAGAGTGGGGAAGGAACCTTGACAGTGCGTGTGTATGTGGGCGCACACACATTGAGAGGGCATATTTTGCAGAGTAGGTGTGACTGAGTGAGCAAGATGGTGTATGCTTGAGCATTTAATCACAACAAAGCTCCCAGCTGCTGAGGGCTCAGAGCAAAAATCAGGGAGTTAAACTCCATCCCAAAAGCCACCATAAGGAGGCAGAGCAGAGTGTTCTCTATGGCAACTAGAAATATTCCCTCCCAGACCCACCTCTTCTCCCAACCCTTCAAATCCCCTACTGCTCAGTTTTCAAAATGTCACATCCAACAGGGAGGGCCCTGGGGACAGCTTCAGAAGCACTGCTCAATGGGAAGTTTTGAAGCAAGTTTTCAAAAGCAATGTGACAGCGAGAGATAAGGAAGGACGATCCAGTGGTTAGGAAGCTAAGCCAGAGACTCTTGGTTCCCTGCTCCATTATAGACTACAGGTGTGACCTTGGGCAAATCAGCTGGCCTCTCCATGCCTGGGTTCCTTATCCATAACATGAATAATAGCACTCCCCTACCTCACTTCCTCACAGGGGTGTTGGAAGCCACATAAGAGCCTAAGATAGACAAGGAAGGGCCACACTGTGCTCTCAGGCTGTTGAGGCACTTTCTAGATTCTGAGAGGGAATTAGTAACTTTTGTCAGAGCTCAGCTCCCCAAATCATTAGCGTGCTGATGTCACAGGGGCATCTTACTCCTTGGCCACATAAACAACAAGACATTGCTCTTCCAGTGAAATGGGGTGGAGATCAGTGTTCCCTCTAATTTTTCCCACCCATGTGTGGAATGAATTTTGTTATGTGCACCAATATGGAGGTGATGTGTGACACATAACAAAATTCATATGGTGGGGGTGGGGTCGGGGCAGAGGGGTTAGGAGTCTTGGAGGGGGTCAGAGCTGGGGCAGAGGGTTGGGGTGCAGGGGGTGAGGGCTCCAGCTGGGGGTACAGGCTCTGGGGTGGAGCCAGGATGAAGGGTTTGGGGTGTGGGAGGGGGCTCCGGGGCTACCGCGGGGAGAGAGGAGTCCCCCCCAGCTCTTTCTCCCCGCAGCAGCACCTGGGCTGTGGGGGAGAGGGGCCTCTCCTCGCCACTGCAGCTCTGGGGCTGGAGCCGCAGGATAAGTGCCCCTCCCCAGCAGGTCCAGGCCAGAGACGCAGCAGGTTGGGGCCAGGAGCGGGGCGCCCCTCCCTTAGCCGCGGCAGGTCCCCTGGCTGGTTCCCTGAGCACCAGCATGGCTCTAAGAAGGCTGCCATGTGGCCGCACAGCTTACAGGGAACTTAGGTGGAGGCATATACCAGGGTAGAGCCACAGGAATAATGGACCCTTCAAAGCAGGACACATTGTGCCACTGAGGAGCAGCAATGACTGGTTCCCAAGGCAGCTCCATCCAGCCCTCCTAATCTTGGGAGATTTTCAAGGCTCCCTAAGTGACAGAGAAGATCCCAACCTCCAAGTAAAGAAGGGCCCACGCTGCTTAACAGAACACCTTTCTGATGGGCATTTCTTAAGTTCCCCAGACCTGAGCCAAAGAAGTGCTCTCAGCAAGGGATCGTGCCGCCTGGTACTTACGTTCTACAATATCTCCTACGTAATGATTGAGGGTCTGCGTTAGCTGGTCAGCACCACGGTCCAGACTGGTGTCCATGCTAAACTTCTCTGTCAGTGCAGTAAAACCTGTAACACAAACGGCAGTCAGGCAGCCACTGTAGGAGGCAAGAAATGGCAGAAGATCTCAGCGACTGCAGTCAGACATGCTTTGTGTTACCTTAAATGTGCTGGATACATAAGAAAAAAAGTTTAACAAAACTTATTTTCCATTTAAAACTGATTTATTAAGCAAAGGAAGTATTATCTGTAGTTAGTGAATTGAACTGGAGTTTCTAGGTCACCACAACCTTCAAGATTTTAGAATAAGTTGATCTCATCCTCTTACACCTTGTTTTTGTTTGCAATTGGAAAAGGAAAACAAGCATTCCCTCTTTTGCAACTTCCAACTGGTTTCTTGATTTTGAATGAACTAGTCATTGAACTGAACTAGCGGAATAAACTGAAATGAAGAAAATATTCTCTCTGCACCACAACAAGAGGCTACTTCTGCCAAAAACTGGTTTAGCACATCAGCTAACTCTGGTTCCAGGTGCTTAGCCAGTGACTTCCACCGGTTCATTTGAAATGAAATTTGACTTTCATTAAAACTTGGCAACAAACGTGTACTGCTATGTATTATTTTTGTATGTGATTTAAATGATTTTAATAGGCTATAAGTTTAGGCCTTAACATAAGTTGTTAATTTCAAGTTTAATTTTAAATAGGGTTGTTTTTTCTTAAAATAAATCTATATTTAAATAAAAAAATCTTTTATATTTTTAATTAATTTTTCTCCACCCTGCATGCAACATTCCCTGATTTCAAGTCCCTAGTTCTTTCAGATTTCAGAGTAGCAGCCGTGTTAGTCTGTATCCGCAAAAAGAAAAGGAGTACTTGTGGCACCTTAGAGACTAACAAATTTATTTGAGCATAAGCTTTCGTGAGCTACAGCTCACTTCATCGGATGCATATAGTGGAAAATATAGTGGGGAAATTTATATACACAGAGAACATGAAACAATGGGTGTTACCATACAGATTGTAACAAGAGTGATCAGGTAAGGTGAGCTATTACCAGCAGGAAAGCGGGGGTGGGAGGAACCTTTTGTAGTGATAATCAAGGTGGGCCATTTCCAGCAGTTGACAAGAATGTCTGAGGAACAGTAGGCAGGGGAAATAAATATGAGGAAATAGTTTTACTTTGTGTAATGACATATCCATTCCCAGTCTCTATTCAAGCCTAAGTTAATTGTATCCAGTTTGCAAATTAATTCCAATTCAGCAGTCTCTCGTTGGAGTCTGTTATTGAAGTTTTTTTGTTGAAGAACTGCAACTTTTAGGTCTGTAATCGAGTGACCAAAGAGATTGAAGTGTTCTCCAACTGGTTTCTGAATGTTATAATTCTTGACATTTGATTTGTGTCCATTTATTCTTTTACGTAGAGACTGTCCAGTTTGACCAATGTACATGGCAGAGGGGCACTGCTGGCACATGATGGCATATATCACATTGGTAGATATGCAGGTGAATGAGCCTCTCCAAGTGTGGCTGATGTGATTAGGCCCTATGATGGTGTCCCCTGAATAGATATGTGGACGCAGTTGGCAACAGGCTTTGTTGCAAGGATAGGTTCCTGGGCTAGTGTTTTTGTTATGTGGTGTGTGGTTGCTGGTGACTATTTGCTTCAGGTTGGGGGGCTGTCTGTAAGCAAGGACTGGCCTGTCTCCCAAGATCTGTGAGAGTGGTGGGTCGTCCTTCAGGATAGGTTGTAGATCCTTGATGATGCGTTGGAGAGGTTTTAGTTGGGGGCTGAAGGTGATGGCTAGTGGCGTTCTGTTATTTTCTTTGTTAGGCCTGTCCTGTAGTAGGTAACTTCTGGGTACTCTTCTGGCTCTGTCAATCTGTTTCTTCACTTCAGCAGGTGGGTATTGTAGTTGTAAGAATGTTTGATAGAGATCTTGTAGGTGTTTGTCTCTGTCTGAGGGGTTGGAGCAAATGCGGTTGTATCGTAGAGCTTGGCTGTAGACAATGGATTGTGTGGTGTGGTCTGGATGAAAGCTGGAGGCATGTAGGCAGGCATAGCGGTCAGTAGGTTTCCGGTATAGGGTGGTGTTTATGTGACCATCGCTTATTAGTACTGTAGTGTCCAGGAAGTGGATCTCTTGTGTGGACTGGTCCAGGCTGAGGTTGATGGTGGGATGGAAATTGTTGAAATCATGGTGGAATTCCTCAAGGGTTTCTTTTCCATGGGTGCAGATGATGAAGATGTCATCAATGTAGCACAGGTAGAGTAGGGGCATTAGGGGACGAGAGCTGAGGAAGCGTTGTTCTAAGTCAGCCGTAAAAATGTTGGCATACTGTGGGGCCATGCGGGTACCCATAGCAGTGCCGCTGATTTGAAGGTATACATTGTCCCCAAATGTGAAATAGTTATGGGTGAGGACAAAGTCACAAAGTTCAGCCACCAGGTTTGCCGTGACATTATCGGGGATACTGTTCCTGACGGCCTGTAGTCCATCTTTGTGTGGAATGTTGGTGTAGAGGGCTTCTACATCCATAGTGGCCAGATGGTGTTTTCAGGAAGATCACAGATGGATTGTAGTTTCCTCAGGAAGTCAGTGGTGTCTCGAAGATAGCTGGGAGTGCTGGTAGCGTAGGGCCTGAGGGGGGAGTCCACATAGCCAGACAATCCTGCTGTCAGGGTGCCAATGCCTGAGATTATAGGGCATCCAGGATTTCCAGGTTTATGGATCTCGGGTTGCAGATAGAATACCCCTGGTCGGGATTCCAGAGGTGTGCCTGTGAGGATTTGTTCTTGTGCTTTTTCAGGGAGTTTCTTGAGTGGATGGTGTAGTTTCTTTTGGTAACCCTTAGTGGGATCAGAGGGTAATGGCTTGTAGAATGTGGTGTTGGAGAGCTGCCTAGGAGCCTCTTGTTCATATTCTGACCTATTCACGATGACGACAGCATCTCCTTTGTCAGCCTTTTTGATTATGATGTCAGAGTTCTTTCAGTTCACTTTGTTCCTATGCTGGAACTCTCCCTGCTTTCTAGTTCTGATCCTTCCCCCACTCCATTTGACCCTGTTTGCCATGAGATCATGCTGACTCTTCTGAGAGAGGTGGCAGAGATCCAGGGGAACATGCTAAAAAGCTTTAAGTTCTTTCTCGGTAGTGATGGAAAATTGCCCATCTCCCACCAGACCTTTCACTTGCAGAGTGTCACAAGGATCAATTCTCTCTCCAGTCCTATTCAATACCTACAAGCTAGTCAGACAACAGGGACTCAAATGCCAGCAATATGCAGATGATACACAGCTCTGCTTCTCCTTCCGCATATACATATGACTATACCCCTACCACCAAGATGACCCAGTGCTTAGAGGAGATCAGTTCATGGATAGAGAACACCTGATTAAAGCTGAACCTGAGCAAGACAGAGGAGATGCCAGTGGGTAGAGACGTTTGCAATCACAGCGCAGTCTCCTTTGGTTGAAGGTACACATCCATCATTGGTCAATTCAATCTGTAGTTTAGGAATGCTTGCTGATGATACACTCTCACACAGTTGCATCCACAAGTAACTTTCTCTACAACATCCACTTGACTAGGAGAGGCTCATCATAGAGGATGAAGACCTGGTCTCTGTCATATATATTTCCTCACCTCCCAGCTGGGCTACTAAAATGCAACATACCTGGGCATAAAGCCTTCACGCCTTAGAAAACTGAGAATGTGGCAGCACATCTCCACAGCAACACAAACTACCACAACCACATCAAACCTATCCTCCCACATAATATAAAGTCAAGTTCAAGGTCCCAGTCCTTATCTTCCAGGTACTCTTTGACCTGGGCCCATCATATCTAAAAAATTGCACAAAGTTCCAGGATAGGGACAGCAGTCGACAACTCTGCCCTGAGCTGCTGCTGTAGCATCCTCTGCTACTCCTGTCCCAAACTCTTCTGAGCCTAAAGACAGCCAATTCTGCAAAACCGTCCAAAGTGCTGTAATAAAGATGAAAGTCCCTAAGCCATTTCAGCTGTGACTTCAGCTAGATTTGGGCCCAAGCCTCCCATTACTACAGACAATATCTCTTTTAAACCTTCCATGTACTAAGGCTGGGCTTTTCGGAAAGGCCTAATAAAGGAGTTAAGGCTTGTCTGCACAGTGAGTTACTGCACAATAAACCAGGGTGTGACTCCACAGCATACCAGTTTGCCACCCAGTCATTCATTGTATGGACACTGCTAAGTCGTAGACACAGCTTAGCATGCTGCTGCTTGAGAGCACAGTACATCAAGCCACACTCTGGAACTTTTCACTCTGCTGTAGCACTGTCCACACACCAAGTTAGTACATGGTACGCTGGCATCCTATTGATTCACACTCTGTCTTGCTGCACAATAACTTCCCATGTAAACAAGCCTTTATGCACATAAATCCCATTGATTTTCAACGGAAGTTGGGCACCTAACTTCCTTGGGCCCTTCTGAAAATCCCACCTGAAATGTCTGCAAAAATCTCTCTACCCACCTGAAATGTCTGCAAAAAGCAATACTCCATCAAAACTCTCAATGAAAGGCACCTCCTGGGAGAAATCGCCATATACGATGAGATCGGGGACATGAGCTGCTACTTTCCCAATTATAGAGCTGTCACTAGACTTTCTTTGCTCCATGTTGGCCATGAATGCAACCTGCTGCCCAGGGCCCTGGAACACTGATGGATAATTCAATATATGATCCTCCCACGCCGGGAAGGAGGTGACTCCCACTAGCCTGCCATATCCATGATCACTCTTCTGATGATCAGACAGCAGCACCATAAAGGACAGGTCACAATTCACTGACGGAAGGGTTTCAGCCAGTAACATTCTCTGTGTATCACAGTCTATGTAGCAACAGTTGCTAGGTGAGACAAGCTTCCTTCATTAATGTATTTTAAACCCATTTACACAGAAATGGTACAGAAACCCCACACAAGTCTGGGCTGTTGTGACTCTTGGGCCTACAAGAGGCTCTCCTCTTGTAAACTCAAATGTAAAAAGTATGTAAAAGTTCTTAAGATGTTACAATAACCATGAAA